TCCCATCCACGACAAGGAACTCCTCGCTATTGTCCGTGCCTGCGAGGAATGGTATCCCCTGCTCCTGGGCATCCAGAAGAAGTTCGAGGTCTTGACAGACCACCACGCCCTCCAATACTTTATGACCAAAAGATTACTAAACGCCCGGCAAGCAGGTTGGTCGGAGTTTCTAGCACCCCTAAACTTCGAGATCAAGTACCGGCCCGGCAAGATGAACGCGGCAGCGGACGGCCTTTCCAGGAAGACGGAGGACCTTACCACCCAGAAGGCGATCCAAGCCGCTTACCGAACACAGACCCTTTTGCCGGCTCACAAGTTAGACCCACAGGTGTTGAAAGAGTTTCAGGAGATCAGCGAGCAAGAACAAGACCTCCTGAACACGCAGGAGCCTCCGATCAGCGTCCAAGCCTGCAAGATCTGGAGCATCGACACCGACGACGTTGAAGGACGTCCCCAGGGGGTAGACCTCATCGACAAAATCCTGCAAGCGAATCGAGGAGCCGAGAGCCTCGAGTCGTTCCGAGAGATGGCAAGCAAGCCCGGCAATGACACTGACTGGACCATTCAAGAAGGACTCCTCCTGAAGGGAGGAAGGTTGGTAGTAGCAGGAGAGGACAACCTGCGTACCCACCTGTTGGCCGAGATCCACGAGCAGCTCCCTACTGCTCACCCAGGCCGAAACAAGATGCGGACCCTCGTTCGGCAACGGTACTACTGGCCAAAGATGTTCTCGGACATCGATACTTTCGTCCGCAACTGCCTCACCTGCAGGAGATCACACAAGCCGCGCGACAAGACACCCGGGCTCCTGAAGCCCCTAGACATCCCGAACCGACCCTGGCAGCACGTTACGATGGACTTTCACAGCATGCCCGAAGACAAGCAGGGCTACGACCAAGTCTTTGTGGTAGTAGACCGACTGACCAAAAGAGCCTATTCCCTACCCTGCTACAAGACAACCACCGCTAAAGAGATGGCAGGCATGTACTACAAGTACGTTTGGAGAAACCACGGGGTTCCAGATTCGGTGGTCTCGGACCGAGGCCCGCAATTCATCTCCCACTTCTGGGACGAGTTCTGCCGAATGCTAGGAGTCAAGATCAAGCTCTCCTCTTCCGAGCACCCACAGACTGATGGACAGACCGAAATCATGAACCAGTACCTCGACCAGCGATTGAGGCCCTTTGTCAACCACTACCAGGACAACTGGGCCGAGCTCCTGCCTGCAATGGACTTCGCCCAGGCCATCCTCCCGCACGAGTCTATAGGGCTTTCTCCCTTCGAAGTGGAAACCGGATACCAACCACGAATGTCATTCGACTGGGAAGCCCGTTCCCAACAGTCCCTTTCGGAAGCGGAAACACTCAGCAGAGAGGACGCAGTGAAGATGACCTCCAGGATCCAGGAGGCCGTCCTCCTAGCGAAAGAGCACCTCGAAAAGGCCCAAGCCACCCAGAAAAAACAGGCTGACAAGCACAGACGCCCGGAAGACTTCAAGACAGGTGACTACGTCATGGTTACGAAGGGAAACTGGCAAACGAATCGACCGAGCGACAAGCTGGACTTTCCGGTCTCAGGGCCGTTTAAGATCTTAGCTAAGAAGGGAGCTTCCTATCTCCTAGACCTGCCCGACACCTGGAAGATGCACCCGGTCTTCTCGCCCGACAAACTGAGGAAGGCTCCGAGCGACCCGCTCCCGGGGCAAGTCCCTACCCCGTTACCACCAGAGGAAATCGATGGGGAGCTGGAATACCAAGTAGAGAAACTGATGGGCTCTCGACTGACAAGGGGGAAACTGGAGTACCTGGCCAAATGGATCGCCTTTGACGACGACCCGGTCTGGTACCCAGCAAGAAACTTTAAGAACGCCCCAGCGGTGGTTCGGAAGTTCCACGAGGAGTTCCCAGAGGCAGCAGGCCCTCCCAAACGACTAACACAATGGGAAAAGGCACACCTCGAGGAACTAGATGAAGAAGACCACCCGGAAGACGACTTTCCGGAGTCACAGGCAAAGGAAGGACCGACACGATCACGAAGAAGGTACAAGTCATGAGGACACGACTCTCTTTTCTTTGGGGGGGGGTAGTGTGACGGCCCGGCGCAGTCACAACAAGGTTGGTTACGTAATGAGCCACTTATACACTGCCCCACCCTCGGCACCGGGGGATCCACCTTTGGCGCATCCACTCTCGACACATCCGCCAATCAGCACGCTTGGTTCTGAAGCATCCACTTTCATTCACTGAATACCAAGACAGGTCCCTTGTTGATTAGATACAGGGGCTCTGTATCTGGGAACTATCCAGGAACCTGTGAAAGCAACAGCAACAGCGACCGACCGGAACCGACCGTCCCCTCGTCTATAAAAGGCCGCTGTTTCTCCCCTGGAACCGCACTTAGTTTAGTTCTTTACTTTTAGTTGTATTTTCGTTATTGGGTACAACCTTCAGGCTCGTCCTAAGTTCATTTGTGCACGCCGTGACAGGTATTCGAGGGCCTATCTATATTTGACCGCTTTAAGTACATCGAGTTGAAGCATTTCATATAGCTCGAGCCCAGTATCAACAACATCGAGGAATAGGAGTATACTATAAGCATTGCAACGCAGCAATTACTCTAGGAGCATATCATTACCGGCTCCCCCCCTCCGTCCGACTCTGAGCCTGATAAAGATAATGACAAGCCAGTTCGGAAGACAACGCAGCCGCCCCTTTATTATAATATTCAATATACTATACCAACCTCTATAACCGGCGAGGTTGCCTATACATTTCGCATCTCCGGTATAGGCACATTTAGTATGTTGGCCGCTCCTTTTACCGGTTATAGTATACTAATAGGATAGAGTAGTTAGAGCGTTTCTAGTCAGAGTATATTGCCTACTACCACTAGTAGTAGTACAGTATCTACCTCGATCGACATTCCTATTAATCTATAGCTTACTGCTAATATTATCGAGCTTAGTAGCTGTAAAAGCTCCCTCTTATTTCGGTCCCTATAGTACGACCAGGCCTTGCAGCTACATTTAAGCCCGGTATCACTGTCTACCGAACAGCTGTTGATACGGGCGGCTACTATTAGGTATTACAGTAGCATCGGATATAGGACTCCTAAGCCGGAAACCGCCGAATAACAGGCTGCTATAATAGAGATAGAGGATCTCTACAGTACCAACCCTCCGCTAATACATATACTTGCTCATCGTCTAAGCCCGTCGGTTAGCCCGATATACCCTGTAACTCCTATGTATAATACAACCAGCCCTCGTATTAATGTTATACCAGCCCAAACCTCGGCCTTCACTGTACCTAGCATAGCTACCACCGCGTAGACTGGCGTTACCGGCCTAGCTCTAACACCCGCTCAGTGGAGCGCTTCTTCGGTACAGCCCCCTACACAACCTATTAACAGACCGCTTAGTCAACCTCTCATCCCTACCTACATTACCAGTATTCTGGCGCCTATTCTCCCCCCCGGTACATTTAGCAGGCCCTATAGCACTACTCCCGCAGCCACTACCACTACTACTGCCGACACCGCCAGCACTACAACCGCCGCTCAGAATACTAAGAGCGAGGCTACCAGCACTAAGGCAACGGTTAGTATACCTGCTATACCTACTAGAGTATTATCTCGTATATCGACTCGGTTACAAACCCACCAGGATACTTCGGGGTCTAACACCGCTCGTACCGGCCGTAGCTAACCTATATCGCACGGTACAACGTATAGTAGCAATCGCTCTACTCGTACCTGTACTTGTAGTAGCGGCCGTAGTTGTAGTCTGGCTGGTTAAAGCGACAGCGCTGATGATGATAATATATATACCATATAGAGCAGCCACACTATAACCTAGCTCTCTCGTATACAGTCTTCTATCGACGTTGATAACCCTATCCGTTATACGACCTTGCCCCCGGGTAGTAGCGACGAATACGATACTAACAATAGCTATAACGATAGCTCTATCAGCCTACTCGAGCTCTACACAGAGTACACAAGCTAGTATCGCACTAGCTACTACTAATGGTAGCTGTTACTCGTAAGTTATCGACAGATGACCTGATCCTTGCGAGTCATCGACAGATGATCCATAGGGGATCCCAGACATTATAAGGCATAGGGTCGGGTATCCGGATAAGCAGGAACTAATCACAGAGTAACAATACGATTATTATAATAGTAGGTATTTACAGATAGATCAGTGCCTCAATTGATCCCGATTCTATATATCTTTTTTGCCTTTGCCATGGTTGAGTAACGCTCGATGGCTGCACAATGCAGCGCGGCAAAATGCAGTAGTCATGTTGCGATTTACAGTAGCGTGACCACTGAAGTTGAGACCACCGAATTTTGGACTAATTAAAACAGTTAATTATGTGGGGCGTTATTCAATCGTTGTGCGGGTGACAATGCTTGTTTTCATCCCAACGCTTGTTTCATCTGATAATGCTTATTGATGTTGTCCCAACGCTAATAACCGCTGTGGCCCCCCACATTTTCCCACTACGGTTCATTTCATCGCATTTGCTTAGGTACCTAGGTAGCCATATTACGTATGTACCTACTGAGGGAGGTCGCCACTCGCATGGCCGTGTTCGAGTTGTCTCCTTCATCGTTGAAGCAGCTCACAATCCAGCGTAGGTGGTCAAATCAAGGCGGACGGGAAATACCACAGTACCAGAATCGGAGGATTGTGGTCACTTTATTAACCCCCAATGCTTATTTCAGGGGTCCGCATGATGCGACCCAGAGCACTGGGACGCGAACTCGAATTTCTTCCGTAACCCCCGCAAAACACGGGGGCCGGCTCCATGTCTCGGAACCACTCAGCTCGTCTCGTAGCTAAAGGAACACAGCGTCGAGTGGCTTGCGGCGGCTTGCCTCGACCCCCACGAAGCCTCCCTGCTCCTTTGGAGCCCAACAGCGCAAGGAGCCGGACACCAATGGGTTGATAGCACGCAATGCACCGCAGCAAATCGCGCGATGTCTCCGCGTCGATATATCGACCTTTTCAGCCGTCAACCGCCATGATGTTGCTACCATCTTCCTGTCGCGGATGGCCAACTTTCCGGCGCGCCAACGACCAAAACCGACAAGCCAGGTGTGCAACTTAAATTGATTGACATGACTGCGCGACGACAGCAACCATGTTGCACATCCGCGGCGAGGCGGCACTCGACGAGGGGCAGCTGCTAGTCCTGACGATCCTTACCCGTGTGGCCTCGACGCTCTCCGCGCTCGGCGTCTTGACCATCATCGCGACCTACTGCTTCTCAAAGCACTTCCGAAACCCCATGCATCGCCTTATTGTCATCAACGCCTTCTACAACGCCCTCGATGTGACATGCACCATGATCTCGACGAGCGGGCCGGCAGCCGGGAACCCGTCACCACTATGCCAGTTTCAGGGGTTTCTTAACCAGATGTGAGTTTCAAGACGAACGAACTGCATGACTGCATGGAAACGTTCAACTAACAACTTATCCACCCTAGGTTTCCAATCGCGGACGTGCTTTGGACTATGGCCATGGCTGTCAACGTGTACCTGATTGTGTATCGGAGCTACGATGTTGCGTCGCTGAGACGCCTCGAGTGGAAGTACATGGCAGGAATCACAACAGTCACCTTCATCCCGGCCCTGGTGCTTCTCTTTATCCGCAATGACGAGAACGGCCCGATGTATGGAAGTGTGACGGTAAGCCTCATTACTCATCATTGTCTCGCCCTTAGACTCGTCCTTAGACCCTGCATCTATACCCAGCGCGCTGACATGCATTAATTTGCCGATCTAGCTCTGGTGTGCCATCGCCCCCAAGTGGGTGTTATTCAGGATTGTCCTCTACTACGTGCCCATCTGGTACGGCTCCCCTTCCCACCAAACCCCCTCCCCCAGTACCTAGTGTTAACAATGCCATCAGGGCATCCATCTTCGCCACAATAGCCCTCTACCTCCTCGTCGGCATCGAGATCGCCAAGCGGCGCCGCATCCTCCGCTCCATCAGCAGCCAAGTCAACGCCACCATCCTCGACGAAACCATCCCACCCGCCGACGGGCACCACCACCACCATCCCGACTCCTGCGGCAACTCCACCACGGCCGAGTACTACGACAGCAGCAGCCACCCCTCCGCAAACGACCCCTCCCCAACCACCACCAGCAGCAGCAACAACCCGGCAGACGCCGGCGGCACATGCAAAAACTACACCCCCTCCACCGCAACCCGCATCATCCCCGCCAACCCCTCCTCCCTATCCTTCCGGCAGTACATCCTGATGCCGCTGTTCTTCTTCCTGGCGCTGCTGCTCGTGTGGGTGGCGCCGTCGACCAACCGCGTCGCCTCCTTCGTCGACCCGGCCTTTGCGTCCTACCCGCTGCTGCTGACGGTCGGGGTGGCGGGGTCGCTGCGCGGGTTCTGGAACGGGATTGTCTTTGTGGTGGTCGGCATGCGCTCGTGGAAGCGGAGGCGGGAGTCGGATGAGGTGGCGTTGAGGCCGGTGACGGGGTGATGGTCTGGGCCTGACGGGGGGGTGGGGTGAGGGTTGGTGCGTGGTGATTTGATGTTTGTATGTATTAGGTGTGGAAGGGATACCCCGTTGGTTATTGTGTAGTTTCGAGTGGGTTTGATAATGAGAGTCGCCCACTTTTCAACATCTGCCAGTGGGCTGTGATGCATTGTTGTGTGTAAAACGTGTACTACCTAGCAGGTATGGCTACCTGCAAAGACCTGTGATGGGGGATGAGAAACTCGACGACGTGAAAGCGGCCGTTCGCTACAGCAGCGAACAAATGGGGGGGTAGCCGCACCAGTCCACGATCAATGGGTCGACGCGTTCATTGGAAAGAAGGATGTTGGACTAGAGAAGGTTGTCTGGACCTGGACGATAAGAAGAGCGTCAATGACCAAGATAATTCGTCGTCCTTCCCGACCAGCAATTGAACTACCTTGAGATAGCCGAAACATGAAGCAATGCTGACTGCACTGTGGTATCTAGCCGTTGTCTTTGGCTACCCTGATATCGGTGCCGTTCTCAAAGATAGAAAAATCATCGCAGATGTTGTAATAGGGTGGACGGGGGATACCGAGACTATAGGTAATCAATAACGAATAATTGATTACATATATTCGTAGTACCATTCCCGAAGCACCGTCTTCATGCTCGCATCCTCCCCCGCGTAGTTCGCCGCCTTCGCCCCATTCCTATCCCTCGCTTGCGCATCCGCCCCCTCCGCCAGCAGCCGTCGGGCCAGGTTGGCTCTGCCCAGCTGCGCCGCAAGCATCAGTGGCGTCCGGCTGTTCCTATCTCGGGCCTCCAGGTTGGCCGCCCGTTTCACCAGCACGCCCACCGTGTCCGGCGTGGCGTAGGGGTCGTTGACGGCGTGGTGCAGCGGCGTGAAGCCCATCTTGTCCGTCACGTTTGGGTCGGCACCGGCGCTCAAAAGCAGGCCCAGGCCCTTGTCGAACCCGAGGCGGGCGGCGTGATGCAGCGCCGTCAGGCCCTGCGCGTCGGTGACGCTCGGCGAGGCACCGTGCCGGAGGAGCGCCTCCACCGCGGCGGGCCGCTGCTGGAGTGTGGCCAGCGCCAGAGCCGTGTTGCCCCCCCGGGCGTCTGGGGTATCGAGCGACGACGATGGCGACGCGTAAGTGGCGAGCATGGCCACGATGTCATCGCGGCCGCTTAGCACAGCGCGGTGCAGTGATGTGGAGCCATCGTGATTCGCGACGGTGGGCACGGCACCGTGCTCGCAGAGAAGCCATGCCGTGTGGAAGTCGTCGCAGGTTATAGCTAGTTCGAGGGGGGATGGGGTGGGTTTGCCAGCGCTCGTCCGGTTATCCCGGACTTTACTCGTTGCCGAGGCACCCTTAACAAGCAGAAGCCAGACGAGGTCTCTGTCCCGGTTTTTGACGGCGTGGAGGAGGGCCGACCAGCCGGTGGCGTCGCAGTCGTCCAGCCGGATCTGCTTTGCGTTGAGCAGCAACCAGACAGTTCCACGGTCGCGAATCTTAACGGACTTGATCAGCGGCGTCGACTTTCCGCCGGCCGTTCCCGCATTCGCGTCGGCCCCGAGCCGAAGGAGCAGCTCTGCCGTTTCGCAGTCTTTGTTTTCGATGGCTGTGATCAACGGCGTCGAACCGTCATTGTATCTGTCGTTAACCCTTGCGCCGTGCTCTGTTAGCAGCCGAACCGCGGATGTCTTCTTGTGGAACACGGCTCCCCATAGAGGCGGCTTTCCCTCCTGGCTTTGCAGGTGGACATCGGCCGGGTTGGGCTCTCGCGCCAGCAGCCGGCGGAGCTTGGACAGGTCACCAGTCTTGGCGGCGTGCATGAGCGGTGTCCAACCATCCACCGCCGATGGGCGGTTTAGATCTACTCCACGACGGAGGAGTGAGTCGGTCAGGAGGCGGGCGTGGCGCTTGACCATGTGCCGCAGTTGGACCGAGCGTTTGCTGTCCAGCGACGCCGCGTTGTTCGTATTCAGCTGCTGGACAATGTCCTGACCGTGGTAGAATATATGCCGCAATGATGTCCAGTAGCCGTCGAAGATTTCGGCGTTGATGTCGTCCTGGCTCTCCACCATTAGCATGGCCACGGACGTGGGCCCGTAGCAGATGGCCAATGATAGGGGAGAACGGCGTCGAGAATTGAGGATGTCAAGCCTCGCACGACCCTTTATCAAGGCCTCGGCCACGCCGTCATCGTCATCGGCCGACCTCATGATGGCTTTGTGGAGGGGCACATCGCCTCCTGTTGGTCCCAGGAGGGCCTTGTGGAGGGCTGTGTCGCCGGCCTCGTCGCGCATGTTTGGGTCCGCTTCTTTGTCAATGAGGAGCCGTAGGAGGTCGACCCTTCCGTATCGAACTGCCCAGTGCAGGGCCGTCTGGCCGTCCGAACACTTGGCGTTGACGTCCATGACTTTCATGTCTATGAGCCGTTCTAGCAAAGGCTTGGGCGGCAGGTCAAAGTGGGCAGCGGCGTGCAGGCCCGTCATGCCGTCAAAAACACCCAGCTTTGTTCTATCCATAGCTCCGAACGCCCTAGCCAGCTTGGAGCTATCCTTCAGGAACAAGTGCGTCAGACTCCGCGCGTCTTGGTCGACCCCGTCAGGACCAGCAAGAATGAGATGCTCCCACCAATGCTCCGCGGCGTATTGCAGTAGAGTGAGGGTATCGGCCGGAGGTTTGCCCTCCTGCCGATGGTCGCACGGGCTGGGGTCTCGGCTATTAAGGTAAAGCAGACACGTTTTGGCAATCTCCAAGTGTGCTGTCTTTGGTATGATATTGTACGTCTCTAGGTGCATCTGTGCCGATTTGTGAACGAGGCTGAGTGTCTCCTTGTCTGGGTCCGTGATGACCAATCCATTGCACGAAGTCATGATGTCGACCTGGGGTCGTCGATGTCCGGTACGAACCGCAAAGCCGTCGAGGACTTGCTGCGCGTTCAACTTTGACTTCGCATGCACCACCCAGGTCAGACTGTGCACGGCCAGGAGGCTCAAAGTGCTTTCGCCGTTTTCCTCGACCTTGTGGGCGATTCGCTTCGCAGACGTCTCGAAGACTTTAAATGCGCTATCGGGCAGCTGCTCCAACGCCGCCGTGATTCCGAGGACCGGATCCTGCTTGCGGAGGTTGTCCATGTGCAGCCTAGCCAAGAGAAACCTTGAATAAACAAGAGAATGTTAGCAACTTGGCACGTTTAGTCGAATATCGAATAACGATACGGGCGAACCGACATTTTCTGGGCTAGCGTCATCTCGGTGACATTTGTGACTACTTCGTCTTGGTCTTGGGGATTCACCAGCAGGCTCTCCAGGAATCCGTCGTCCTTGATCCGCTCTTTCACATATGCTGTCACGTCATCCCTCGTTGGCGTAATACTCAGCTTCTGATCGACTCCAATTTCTTGGCCGACCCAGTCCGTTCTGGAGGAGAAGAGAACGCGAATTCGGGATGGGAAGGCCTTGATGGCATCCAGGACACCTTTTTCGATCTTTTCGTCCGGTGCGTTCCGGCAGCTGTCCAGGGCGTCCATGACCACGTAAACCGTTGAAAACGTGGCAGCCTGTGCTATCAAGAGCTTGAGAGTTTCGGGCCCATCAAGCTCGCGGAAGTAGTCCCACTTCATCTTCAATTCGTCTGCGAGGTATTTGGACTGCCGAAGCAGCTGGATTAACATGGTTGCCCATATGCGCGCGGGCGATGCCGGATATTCTTCTCCCTCCTGGAAATAGAAATATGCGCAGGCAATATCGTCCTGGCTTTCCGTCTTTGCCTCGATCAAGTCGATGGCAAGGGAGCTAGTCCGGGCCAAACCGTCAGAGTTTAAGAAGCCCGAGTGAAGCAAGCCATACCCAGGTGGGCTAAGCACTCACAGGAGCATGGTTTTGCCAGATCCAACTGGGGTACCGTTGTTAGGAACGAATAAAAAGAAGGGAGTGAACCATAATGCAGATAGCACTCACGTATGCCGTGTATCCACAGGAACCTGCTCGAAGAACTTGAAGCATCTATCCAGTCAAGAAACTTCTCATCTGTCAGGAACCACCTACCCGTCCCTTCTGTTACTTGCCTGACGAGACTCTTGTGGTGCTGGCTAGGATCCAAAGGAGTCTGGCTCGGCTGACGCATGAGCCAGTTGATCATGTCGTCGCCTGGGGGCTCGTCAGCATCTCTGGCACGCCGAAGTCACTTTATGGGGCCTGGGGACCGTGATCAATTACATGTCGGTTCCATAGTCAAGCTTTTCGATGCGCTGAGGAACGGGGACAGTCCTACCATCCCCGCTCGGCCCGAGACGTGGACTACGGCGTGGTCGTTAGCTCGTTCAAGACGACGAAACATCGGGCAAGCTTCGTCGACTTACAATGGTTGTTGACCTGGGACTCAATTTTGTTGACCACGCCAGCAGCAATTTCTGTCGCGCGGAAGCCAATTAGTTTTCCTATCGCAACGATTCTCACCAACAAAAGTCGACCTACCGTCGTGGGTTCGAGTGCTGTGCATTTCTCCGATGGCTTGCTGCTTGGCATTCTCAGTCCCGTTGATATTCATGCCATGACTGAAACCGGGAGCCGGGAGCATGCTGCCGCTTTCCCGGCCGCGATCCATATCGCCCATGACTTGTACGTTGAAGTCAGGGAATGGAAGTCGCTCAGCGCAGCAAATACGCCCGACGGGATATGCCGTACCGATGCCTCGGCGTCCTTGGACAGGTGTTAAGTCTTTAGACGTTACCGAAGGGACGACTGAAGTAGGCCAAGGTGGTGAAGAAATCGGCAGAGATTCACGAAATCCGGCACGGTTAATTAGAGACTCGGAGACCGTTCCGGGGTCGTATTGTGCAACCCAGGCAATCCAGCCGTCAAGACACTACTTGACTGCAAAGGAGATGCCGGAGAAGGGAGCTCGGTTGTGCGCACTCGCGTGCTAATTACCTACTATCTGACGACGCCGATCAGACACAGCCTTACAAGAAGCCGCCAAAGCGGCGGCCCAAAACGGTGCGCAATCTAACTTCAGGTCTGACATCTGCAGCAAGTTCGGAGCCTTGCGGACATGCCGACGGGTGGTGGTGGCTGTGTACATGTTCCCACAGCAAGTCACCGATACTTACACATAGGCAACTAGGCTGCGGCTGAAACCTATCAATATTTAATGCATGGTCAGCAGTTCAAACCAGTAATAATACGGCGTCTCTGTGACACAACCGCATCTACCTATCGGAGGCAAGCCCACAATGTCACAGTCCCTGGATCCAACCAAGCATTGGAGGCTTTGGTGCCATCTCCAAGACGCTGCACCGTGCCAGAAAGCATAAGTAGGTATCCAGGTAGTAAATGCCTCGACGGGCTTTTCTCATCGCGTTTGGGTGCTCACCTTGTCTACCTCAGACTACGAGGATACCTTAGGTACTTTAACCATTCAGCATCGCTGGTAACATCATCCTCAACAATCCCATGGCTGACCCATTCACTGCGGTCGGTTTGGTTGCCGGCATTCTCGGCATTGTGGGCGCCACACTCTCAACCCTCACGGCCCTTAGAGAAGCGATTGGCAACTTCAAGGGCGCATCGAGCACACTGAGCAACCTCACTGAACACATTGACAATATCGAGCAGCTCCTGTCGTCACTCAGGACAACGCTCGGTCCTACGGATGACGCAAGTCTCCCACCGGGGCTGAGAACGTGTCTGGAGAGCCTCAGGCCATCTCTGACCCTCCTGGACAAGGCGTGCCGGGATTTTAAGACCAAGCTCTCGGAGGTTTTGCCGCCTTCTGGTGACAAGAAAATCGGGACATTCGGCAAGATTCGTCTGCACTTTGAGGACAAGGAAATCCAAGTCTTCCGGAGCCGCATCGAATGCCACAAGTCCACCTTGGGTGTTGCGTTGAACCTGGCGACATAGTAAGCCCTGCTCCTAACCTGGGTCCGGCTAGGACTTTCTCTCTCGCTAATTCGTTTCCTCGACCGTCCGATAGTGTGCTGTCCAAAGACAACAGAGAGGATGCGCACGATATCAAGCGCGCCATCACGGCCACAAGAAGCGAAATCGGAGGCGAGATTCGCGGCCTAAAGATCGCTCTGGAATCCCTCTCTCTTGCTGAGCTGGGGGTCAAGAACCAGTCCGTCATTGAGGTCCTGGGGGGCGAGCATAACACGGCCCTCGAGACATGCCTGACGACGTGCAAAAGCGCCGAGGAGGCGGTGGAGGCCCTGACGTCGTTGCGAGTGGGTGCCGTCCAGCACAATCAGAACGCCCGGCTTGCCATGGCGGGGACCGTCGGGACGGTTACGACGCGGTCACAGGGCATGAGAGTCGACCGCATTACCGGTGGCGGGAATGCGACGCAGATGGTTCTTCAGGAGGTCGGCGCTGATGCTGTTCAGGGCCTATTTGGGGGGTTCTGGGATTCTAAGCCGCCGAGCAAGTAGGATAATATATCGTGGACGGGGTGAATTGTTTGACTCGGGTAGAAGAGCCCTGGAAGAATGCAGCGCCCGTTTAAGCCGAAATGATCGTAGTCGTTATCTAGAGCGAAGGTACCTACCTAGGTAGGTAAGGTAAGGTAGGTACCTAGGGAATAACGGAAAACTAGAAACGTAAATAAAAATGGAAAGATTTGTGGCTTTTTTCTTTCCCTCTTTTGCTCAAGGCCTCACACGTAATTAATGATGAATACTTGTACTCGCTAATTAATCAAGTCCTCCTCCGATTTCTGCCATCTCAATCTCCTCGGCCCTCATCACGTCCTCAGAGTCGTCCGTACCCGCCGACTCGTGCCTAACATTAGCTGCCGGTAGTCCGTCCACCCCACCCAGATGCATCAATGGTGGCTCGGGCGGCGACTGGGAGACCGCCATGCTCAATTTCTCGGCACCAATGAGACGCGACACGCTTCGGCAACCATGGCCTACCACTCCTCCAGACCGCCTTGATCTCGGGTCGGGCAGGAGCAGCTTCCACGCCCCGAGCTCGAGAGACGCCATCGACATGCCTCGATCGGACAGCCAGCCATGCTGGAAGTAGTCCCGGCGGAGGCGGGCGTGGCTGATGGTACTGCTACTGCGCCGTGCGGGCGCCTGAGCGTGCCCGTCGACGCCCGAATCCGAGCGTTCCGGGCGAAAAGACTCGGGCCCGCTATCGGGAACGTTGCGCTGCATAGTCCGGGTCTCTGGCTGTGCCGGTGGTGGGGTCTTGAAGTCCGGGACAACCAATTCTTTGGCGAGGTCGTCCGGCAGAGCGTCGGAATTGACTTCGGTTGGAGCCAAGTGATGGTTGGCTTGGATGAAGCTATCGTTCTCGGAGCGCAAGGGCGAGTTCGCCTGGCTCTCGACGAGCTGCAGAGGTCCTCTTGATTCGTACTCTAACTGGGGGGTGAGCTGGACGTCGCTTGTGCCATTGTCAACGCCACCTCCACCGACGGCTCCGGCGGTTGAAGGCATTGGATCTACTCTCACAACGTCGAGGCCTTGATTGTGGCTTTTCACGGCACCGTTGCCCGTGTCTGAAAGTCCGACGGTGTGTCCGTGTGGCGGAGGGTGCGGTGCCTCTCTGTCATCCCGCCACCCCTCGATGGAGGGTCTGACTTCTAAAGGCGAAAGACAGCGCTGTCCCTGCCACCCAGATGGGGAGAGCCATCGCTCGCTGCGACTGCGGCCACGAAGGCTACGCTCCGTTCCCGACCGGTATGATTCCGCCTCCCGGTCGTTGAAGTCGTACGTTGTCGGATCGGACCCGCGGCCCCTCCATCTTTCACCATGCCAACGCGGATCTTCGTAGAACGCGGATGATGGTGGTGACATAGGTGGCCTACCGGCATATCCACGTCCTGCCAGCCCGGCCGCCAACGCCTCGGCGATCGGATTCACCAACTCCTCCTTTATCATGCGAAGCGTCTTGCGCTTCTCTCTTTCCTTCGTCTGATGCCAGTGGGACGTCCAGAAATCCGACGTTGCCGACGTCTGGCGCTCCCTCTCACTCTCACTCTCGCTCTCGTTCTCGTTCTCGTTCTCGTTCTGGCTGTAGTCGTTGTTGCCGTCGCTTGGCGGTTTCGGGACAGGAGGTGGTGCCCGCGGCGAACACGAGCCACAGGGTTCGGATGAGGTAGGCCTACGGTGGCGGGGGCGGCCAGGAGCATAACGGGTCGCCCCAGAAAAATGCGAACCGGAGTGCTGGATGGACGGGGCGGACTCGGCGGTGGGAAATACCGTGTCACTGTCCTGTGAGGATTTCATGGCTGCTTTCTGTCGCCCGATCCCTCCTTGTTCGGCATCCTCTCGCCTGCTTGCCACCTTGGTTTCTAGCTCGGCATCCGCCTCAGACCCAATCTCGGCTTGCCGTTGGCTCCGTTGAACCTTCTTTTCTGCATCCCGATGCTGCATCACCTCCGCTCTGAGGCTTTGCAGGACGCTATCCTTCGTCATAGTTACCATCTCATCCACACTCTGCTGCAACTTCGCCTGCATGAGCCTCATAAACTCTTCATGGCGCCCGGCCTCGGCCTCTTTCGCTTCGGCAGCCACTCGATTCTCGCTCTCAATCCTCTCCTTCACCTCACGTTCTATCATGATCCTCTCATCGGTGGCACGTTGTCTAGCCTCTGCGGCCACCCGCTGCTCCTCTTGTATCTTTACCCTGGCCAATCCCTCCATCTCTCGCCATAGTTTCTTCCACCCTTTTTGCTGCTTGTCTTCTCGCTTCACAGAAGGCATCCGTCTCCCGGTGTCGCGTTTGCGGTCCCAGTCAGTCGAGGTTATGGAGCCATCGGTTTCATCTGAGCTTGACCAACCACTATAATAGCTGCCACTCGTGTCACGATCGTGTATGATGGGCTCCGGCTCCCTTGCATGTCGGTGCCTTCTCCTCTCCGGTACATCCATCATTACCCGTTTTCCGCCGGGCGGCGCGCCGTGTTGTGCTCGCCACCGTTCCGCGTACTCGAGCCCACCGCCCTCGTACGACCTGGTACTAGGCTGCCGTACGTATGGGCTGTCGTAAATCCCGTAATACGCATAACGATCGTCGTCAACTTCGAGCCGATAACGATCGTCATCCCTCGACGACCGATACCCAGCGGAGGGGGGAGGAGCGGCGCGAAAGAGGTCTGGAGTCTCTGGTGGGTACCTCACGGTATTATCAGGGTATCGAGCCGGGCTATCATTCTCCGTCGCCGAAGGGTTGCGGTGCACAGAGGTTCTGCGGCTTTTCTCTGACCATGGTGTGGCTGGGCGCAAGAGGGCTACCTCCAAGCCGTAAGTGCTCATCATACTGTCAGATCGCCTGCCCTGCGGCCGTCGCGAGTTAGACGCCGTCCTGTGTTGGCGGACCGGCTCGCTGCTTTCTGATCTGCCCCACGTGTCATCCCGCTTGGTAGGTCGTGGCCTCGCTGCCATTGGACTCTCTGGCGCGCCAGCGACATGCACATGTCTGACGCCCTTGAGACTCGAGAGCTCACGATCACTGGTTGGTTAGCAAATGCGCTCTGAAGCATTGTCAATGGGGGACATATGGAAGTAGAAGTACCGGGCGAGTGCGTCAAGCTCATTCCAGTCCGCGCGTTTGAATCCGCGCTGCGCATCAGATGACTGAACCGGACGAGAACCCATAGACTGGGTATTACCTTCGGTGTCAACGTCGCTCTCAACCGACATGTGGTATGGCCGCGTAGCGGAGTGAGAATTCCGACGGTCAGCCATCGCCAGCAGATCTTTGTTTGTGGTGGAAGGTGATGCCCTCGTGTGCAGAGATCTGCTGCACCCCTAGCGAGGCCCGCCAGTAAGTCTGGCATGCCGGAGGAGAGACCGGGGGGTGATGGCTATACCGCCCATGTCCACTTACCTTGGTAGGTAGGTATGCAGACGGCACAGGCCGCCCCCTCGGGTAGGACGAACAGCCACCCACAAGGGGCGAAGTATAGTGTACATGGGAGCCCGGGGGCGCTTGGAGGCTGAATTACATGCGGGCAATGTCCAATATCACACCATCACCAGTCAAGCGCTGAGAAAGGTCTCACTCCCATTTCTTGACCTGCAGCCTGCTTCACGCTATCTCCGTAGGTAGGGATGCATCATTTTGAGACGAACACCAATAGAAATGATGCCTGCTAAGTCGTGCCCGTCGCAAGCAGGAGAGGGGTGACACAACCAAAAGGGTCCTTGGTGCTTTTTGCCGAAGCTGTGTGATGGGCGAGGCTTTGGCCCTCCTCCTTTGTCCGGGTGCTTAGGTATCCCTTCTCTCTGTCCCCCGCTGCTGCTGGAAGACCAACAGCCACGATTACACGGTTACCACACAAGTGATGGGAGCTTACAACATTTGAACACTTGGCTGATCTAAATTCTAATACCACGGAAATGAAGGCCATGAAGTGGGCAGTGAGTCAAGAGGTAGACATCATCTCGATAAGCTGGGCTATTGAACCACTCGAGGATTGCAAGGACAAGAGGGGGATAGCACCGCACGATGCCCTCACGCTGGCGACCGAAAGGAACATTCTCCTCTTCTACGCCCACCCGGACACGGCTCCCGAGTTAACCGTGAATACCACATCTCCGAAGCAGCTGGTGGCCGCGGAGACGCTGTTCTGCATCGGTGCGGCGATGGAAGACGGGCAGCGCCGGTGCAAAATAGACAAAACCGACGATTTGTGCGACTTCTTCTTACGGGTGGTCAATCTCGGCATCCAGGTCGAGAACATGAACAGGGTATGCGGAAGGCCCCCTACATGAGTGGCACAAGTCACGGTACAGCGGGAGCTCGCTCTCGTGCGCCCTCACCGCCGGACTGACCGCCATGATCCTGCACTGCACCCAGGTGAGCGGCATAGTCTCGGAGGGCGACGCAAGATGGAATTGGCTTAATACGCGGGACGGGATGAGCCAGGTTCTGCAAAGTATAAACGTCGACCGGCCCGCCACCGGCAAAGGCCAGTGGCTGGGCGTAGGCAGATTGTTCGACAAGGGTGCCAGTGTTGAGTCGTCCCAGGACGGCGGTGGACCATCGGTGATGCTCAAGTCGCTGAGGGAGGATGTTGTCTCCAGACCGCTTGCGAGAGTGCCCGCCAGCATACACACGAGCAGCCGATCCTGCCTCCGGTTAGTGCAAGACGCAAGCTGGCGAACAAGGAGGGCAAATACAAGGTCACCGGGGAGAAGGCTGCGGTGAAGGAGGGGCGGAAAGGGATGGGGTGGGAGCACTCCAGCAGTCTATTGGTGCTTTCGCAAAGCTCTCATCCCCAATTTCGCATGTTCGTGACAAGCACCGGCTCATAAGACAGCAACCCCCCTGCTAGCTGAAAATACAGGCCACAAATCGGGCCGGCAAGCATTTAAACTGGCCGAAGATTGGGGGCAGTGCAGCACATTACCAGAAAGGAACCCGCGCAAGGCTCCCGAGACCACGTCAATGTTTCGTCTTCGGATCGAGTCGTGTAACCCGACGACCAGGTCCTCAAGTTGCAGCTGCAGGTGGGGGATCACCATGATTGTTGCGCCGGCTGACACCCCCAAGGGGTTCATGTAACATCATTCGGTAGCCTTTCAGGGCAGGGCCAAACTCAAGTTCAAGATTCAGACCACCGACTTCCGGCACGGCGAAGCCCAGCCCGAGAATATTGCCAATCAAGTGGCGGGCGAGAACGCCCTGGCCACCTACATGTAGGTATTCAATGTGATATGACCAAGGTCCTCCACGGCACCCTAAACAACGGCGGTCCTCCCGCCACCCTGACCGTCTTCCACCCGCCAGCCAACAAGGGCGTGGCATAGCATCCTGAAAGCTTGGAGAACGAAGACCTGGATCTCTACCGACAGCTTATCACGGTCCGCGAATGGAAAACCCCGGGTGAAATATCACCTGCGACAATCTATCGCACCCGACAAAGTTGGCAAGGTCCCACAACGACGTGCCGCCTAACAGAACGGCGTCATCTCCCGCGCAAAGCAGGCATCAGACACCCGGCATGCTACGATCGGTGCTACACAATACACAGAACAGACAAGACTCGTCCACTTGTCACCCCGAAGGACTTACCCACCTTCAGCACACGACAATGTCTGCGAGCTTCGTCGCAGAAGCTCTCTCGCCTAGTAATCCGACGACGCGAACCGAGTACAGCATTGTATTACATAGAGATAAGCCTAGGCCAACGCCGCCGGTGGGGATGCTGGTCAACAAGCAAGAAACAACAAAGCCACATAGGAACCGAGCTACAGGTACCAAGAAGACACCGACATATTTATTGAACATGCACGTCCGGGGGGAAGCGGACAGACAAAACAAGCGAAGCCGAGGCTAGGGGGAGAGTATAGGTATGCGGAACCACACATGGTGCCTCGCATGAGGCACCGACTGGGCCCGACACAAAGCCACGAAGCAGGAGTCTAGGAGGAGAGAGCACGAGGAGAGTCCACGTCCTCCTGCCGCGCGCGCCATGTCCGAGCCCCCTCAATTCCAGCGGGCGGCGTGGGCCGATCAAATACAAGACGGGAGAACAAAACCCGGCCTAGCCCTCGCAACTGTAGCTGGTCTCAAGTGCAGTGTCGCCCCGTCCATTGTACCTGATCTTCCGCGGGTACGGGCAGAAAAACCGGCTGTTCACCGTTCCGTTCGGGTCGGTGAAGCGGATGGGCAGCGTGTCCGGCGCCGTGCCGTTCTCCACCCACGCCCGCAGGGCATCGAAGGCGGTCTCGGGCTGGCCTCCGTGTCCTCCGTAGCAGTGGCCCATGCCGGGCGCTTCGAACAGGCGGTAGTGGTCGTGAACGTCAGGGACCACGGCCGCGACGGCGTCGTAATATCGCCGGCTGCCCTGGATGGCGATGACGGGGTCGAGCTTCCATTGCGTCTGTTAGCTCGTCTTGCGTTCAATGGGGGCCCCGTGCGAGGCCGTGAGAGGAGCATGACTTACCGTGCCGTGGTATCCCAGCATCTTGCCGCCTCGTTGGAAGAACGGTGCCAAGTTGGTGTCGTCTCCGTTGATGTGAGAGTACTGAACGAGCGCAGACTCCAAGATGCGGTCAAAGTCGTCACGCGTCAGGGCGGTGAAGTCCATGGTCAGGTTGCGCTCGACGAAAACAGATGCCCAATCCGTGAAGACGTCGAATGGGACACCGGTGCAGGTACCATTGCCCACGCACCTGGTGGTGGCGGGTCCCATCGTAAACTGGCTGAGGGCGGTGATGTTTGCGCCGGGCGCTATACCGTACCACTGGAAGTCGCCCTGGACGGATCTGGGGCCCGCCCACGTGGCGTTAGACACGATGGCCGCGGCCTCGGATACTTCCATTTGGGTGCCATCACAGTCGAAGGTGGTGCCTACGAGGGCGAAGGGGTCAAACTCGCACGAAGCGGGATCGAAGACTAGGCCATCAAGGACGCCGTCTTGTCCATCACACGCGGCAGTGGCCGCCAGGGCAATCTCGTACAGCTCGCAGGGCGCCGGGTACTTGCCCATCGTGTTCATGACGAGCTGCGGCCAGAAATTGGCGACGACGAGCTCGTTCCAGTTGATGGCCGGGGCCGAGGCCGCAATGCCGTCGTATGCGTCAGGGTAGCGCTGGGCAAGCATGAGGCCCTGACGTCCGCCTTGCGAGCAGCCGCTGAAGTACGAGAACTCGGGCTTCCGGCCGTAGAAGCTGTCGACGACGCTCTTGCCAATGATGGCTTGCTCGTTGAGAGAGCTCGTCATCAAGTTCTGCAACATGTAGAGGTTGGCGTTGCCCGGGCTGAGGGTGCCCCATTCGGTGGCCGGCCTTCCCTACTGCCCGGCGTCAGTCGTGGTAGTTGCGTATCCTTCGCCCACGGCACCGGCCATTGCAGCATCGGAGAGCAGAAAACGTCCGGCGGCCATGCCTCCGCCACCAACAGCCTGCAGGCGACCATTCCACTCGGTGGGAAGCCAAGCCATGACGGTGATCATGTCGTCCTGGCCGGGATGCGTGTAGGAGACGGTAATGTTGCAGTAGTCGACGTTTTCAACTTCGAACGGGCCATGATGGATGTTGAAGTCTCCCGGAACACTGGTCGTGAAATTGGTGACCATGGAGGCGCTGATGTTGAGAATCTCGGTACCAAAGATTTCGGGAGGAACCAGATTCTCAGCCGAGCAGAGGAGCTGAGACACGGCGGTGTAGTAGTTCGCCATGATGCAAGAGATGGACGAGAGAGCGTGTGGTCTCGGTCTGATGTATGACAGTATGATGGCGGGAACGATCGAAAGGGTTGGAGTCGTTGGACGAAGGAGAGACTGTTGGTTGACTACCTAACCTAGGTACCTATGCGAGTAACATGTTGTTACACTGCAGTCCGGACAGTGGCCTCATTTATAACGACGAAGCAATTTGTTTGCGTACATCAGTGGAGGCCGCCTCGCAAATGCCATCTTGTAGATCGTTTGTCGCGAATGCCGTATCGTGGATGCTGTCGTCGTATAGCAAAAGCGGAGGCTTGAGGTGCGAACTTGAGAAAAAACCCAGAGTGCTTGCACACACCCCAAGGCGAAACATTACAGATCTGTAATTGTAACCCCCCGAACTTGCGGACGCTCTGATCACAATATTCTTTAAACCACAATAACCGTTTCACCTAGTCGATTGCACCGAGTTCAACGCAGTCGATTTAATTACAGTTAGTTCAACGCAGTCAGTTGTTTTTGCAGTCAGTTCAACGCAGTCAGTTGTTTTTGCAGTCAGTTCAACGCAGTCAATTGGTTTTACAGTTAGTTTGATGCAGTCAATTTTGAACGTAGTCGATTGTTTCTGCAGTCTTCAACGCAGTTACCTGGTACCTAGTTTTACAGTTGTTCAACGCTCAATTGTTTTTACCGTTAGGTTGACATAGTCAATTCTTTTTAAACACAATTAACTATAAAAATAATTAACTACATTGAACGGACTGTAAAAATAATTGACTGCATCAAACTAACTGCAAAACAATTGACCACGTTCAACCAACTGCAAAACTGACTGCATCGAATTGACTGCGTTGAACTCGATGCAATTCGCCTGAGTGCATGCAATAAACTGAAATTAAACGGGGTGGCTAGGATTAAACGAGGTCGCTGCAAAAGCGACGGTGACCGTTGGCCCCGTAATCGTTCCGAGAGGGATGCGATTGGACCACCTGTGTCAACCCGAGCCCCACATGGGGACCCGATCGAATACGACCAGGTTTACCGTTTCCGCTTCAAACTGAACCCCCTTTCTCCCTCTCTTCCTCTCCCGTGGATTATACGACTTTTTTTATTTTGCTCGTTTAACTCTGGCACCCTCGGGATCGCAATTATACACTCGGAATACGCACCTCGGCTACAGACTGCTGCGTCATCCCTGCCACAACCTTGACGGGGAATCGGGGACCCTCCGACACCCTCGATGCACGCCCGCCATACAATACACCCAATGAGTGCTTCGCGAAGCCCGATACGGTCGCAGGACCGTCCGAGGCGAAGTCACCGCAAGTCCCGCCTCGGATGTGCCGAATGCAAGCGCCGGCGAGTCAAGGTACGTTCCTGGACCCCTGGCCCCTGGGTCAGCCCCCGGCGCTAACGGCTGGCTATGTCTTTTGAACCGCTGACTGACTGTCTTTTGCAGTGCGATGAAACCCGGCCGGTCTGCAAGAGGTGTGCACTCGCGGGGAGGCAGTGCGCATTCTCGTTGATGGCCCCTAGCCTACCGAGTACCGATGCCAGCTCCGTCATCTCGGGCTCTGATGCACAAGACTCGACAGCAGAGACGTGGACCGGCCCGGCCGACGTCTCTCAGGCCCAGCTGCTCTACCACTTCACCTCCAGCCATGGCTTAATTCCCATGTTCAGAGCACCTGAGGAGCTCCGGGGCTTCACAGCAGACGCCATGGTCAAAGAAGGGCTCACCTGCCCCTTCTTGCTGAACCAAATCCTCGCCTTCTCTGCCCGCCACCTGGCATCGTGTAGGAACCAGCCGGAAGAGAAGACCGAGTACCTCCGCCAAGCCAAATCATACCAGACGCACGGAATCATGCTCTTTACCGCCACACCCATCGACATCGACAAGGACAATTACTTGCCGTTACTCTTCTTCACCTGCCTCCTCGGGATCCACCAGCTGTGCGACGTCAACCTCGGCGAGAACAAGAACAACATTCTCGAGCATTTTCTCGAATACCTCGACGTCTCTCGCGGTCTCCGAACCGTTACCACACAGGCCTGGGATGTCATGCACCAGACCGAGTGGAGAGAACTACTCACCATCGGCTCAGCCAGAGCGGAGCTCACCGGTATCGGGACCCAGACTGCTGCTCTCAGAACGCTCATCAGTGAGAGCCTCGGGCTAGACGAGCCGCAGAAAGCCGACTGCGACGAAGCTGCATCCAAGATCCAGGCCGCTTTCGACCTGGGAGAGGCCGGCTTATCCGTCGATGTGTTGCAGCTGTGTTTCCATCACCTACTTTCCTGGCCGCAGATCATCAAGCCTGGGTTCATCTCGGCCGCCAGGGCCAAACGCCCCGAAGCCCTGATCATCGTGGCTCACTTCTGCGTCTTGCTCCACTGGTGCCGTAATCTCTGGATCATCGGTCCCATGGCCCGGGATCTTTTCCACGGTGTGCAATCTTGCTTGGGCGCGGGATGGGAGAAGTGGCTTCAGTGGCCCCAGTCCGTATTCGAGGGATCATGATCTCGGATGAATCAATCACCAATTCGTCCTGCAACACTCTACGTGCCGCTCGCAATCCCAAGTCTTATTGACCGCTAGGGTGACATGACCACGCGGCAAGACGGCAGTCGAGACCACCTACACCGCCTGATCCTTGTTAGTGGTCCCAAGGTGGGTAGGTCCCAACGAATCGGCTTTTGCTGTAAACGACGCATCTCACTTTCGTGGCAAGAAAACGCGAGCATGGGAGTCACGACCGTCGTTCATCCTCGCCGGCCATGCACGTCAATCGGGCGAGGCGTATATTCATTCCCCATTCTACTGCTAAGGTCTTGACATGAAATATAAGGTCAACCTACGAAAGGAAATGAAGTTGCATACTCATCACCCGTCACCCATTTCCATCTACTCTATCACACTGACTTGGTATGAGGGTGAGCATGTCGTACCCAATCATCCCCGTCTCTGCTTGCGCAGACGCAAACATAACTGTACCTTCGCTTCCGGGCGTTGACATAATCTCCCTCATTGCACAGCCTGTTCTCAACTACGCCGAAACCGCATCGCAAGACGTCAACTACAACCACCCCACGATCCAGGCCGACAATGTCGACTTTTGCAACATCACCATCAGCTACACCCACCCGGGGCAGGGAGACACGCTGACAGTTGAGACCTGGCTGCCCCTGAGTACCTAGAACGGGCGCATTCAGTCCGTCGGCGGCAGTGGTTGGATCGCCGGCCGCTTTATCCTCTCCTACCTAGCCATGGCCGGCGCCATTGGCGAGGGGTATGTCGCATCTACTGTTGATGCTGGGCTTGTCGACGACAATGGGCAAGTCTCGTTCACGCCGGAAGAATGGGCCATGGTCTCCGAAGGCAACGTCAACCTGTATAACTTGCAGAGCTTTGGCTCTGTCGTTCTCTATGATCAGGTTAGTTGTGCTGTGTTAGCCCTGCGGCTTGGTCGCTTCCTTCGTCAGATGACGACGCGTAATCGCACCTGTTCTGATGCTGACGATCTTGTAGTCCATTATTGTCAAGTCCCTCACGGAAAGCTTCTATGGACAGAAGCACGAATATGCTTATTTCAGCGGCTGCTCTCAGGGTGGCAGACAAGGTCTCACGCTCGCCCGAGGGGGACTTTCTCTGGTACGGCCCCAACTTGGACTCTCGCCTCTCCGGCGACGCATCCGGCGGGGCCATGACGGCAGACCCGGGGTATGCTCAGACGATATGTCGCAATGTCACCTGTGAGGGCGCGCCGGTGGGATTCGGCGACAAGTAGGTTCCACTGTTCGTCCAGAAGAATTCGTCTTCATCCTGGCGAGACCTCACTCCGCCGAATTTCTCAAGGTTATTTAAAAAGGCAGTGCGAGAGTTCGACTCTATCATCGGAACTTCGTCCGCCGACCTATCCGAATTTCGAGCGGCCGGTGGGAAGCTCATCACCTATCATGGCAGTGTAAGTTCGTCCCCGCGGTCCGCAGTTAATCAACACTGCTTGATCCCTTGCTCACTTTTTGCCAGGCCGACCATCTGATTCCTTTTAAGGGGTCTGTTCACTATTATGATGAGGTCCTGAAGATCGATGCCAATGCCAGGACTTTTACCGTCTCTTTGAGGTGCCGGGCATGGCTCACTGCTCCGGCGGAAATGGTGGACAGCCCACGAACACCTGGGCGGCGCTCGTTGCCTGGGTGGAGGATGGCACAGCGCCTGAATCCTTGCCCATACATCTCGAGGATCAGCATTCGGAAACCTCTGATAGGCTGCTGTGCCCCTATCCTCAAAAGGCCCTGTTCACGGGGTGTTCTGGTCGTAACGATACGTCCAGAAGCACATGGTCTTGTGTGAACACCCAGGACTAAGTACGATATCTCAAGACCGCATTGGATGTCTTAACTCAGTGGCCTCAGCTTATTCCTGGTTCAAAGTGTCGCGGAGCGCTGCCAGCTAATACTCTTCCTCGTGGACTATGTGGAAAGGGGTGAATTCACGTGCCACACTCATTTAGCTACTTAGACAGACCAACAACTTAATCCAAGCACATACTCTTGATCCGTGTTATGAGAAGATCACAATGTCAGCACCTCTACTAATGCTCTTAAAATCGAGAAGTATGTCGTTGTTTTATCGACGTCGGCCCACGCCGGATCCTTCGTGACCATGCAGCGTGCGGGCAAAACTAACATGCATCTCGTGCAATCACACGACATGCAGGATCCCTGTCATTGTCACCACCTCAAGCAGCCGATTCTGCATGGCGCCTTGCCAGCTTGGTAAACTCTACCCTCGCTCAATTTCCACATCCTTGCCGTCGAACGGCTTCAAATCTGTATGCTCTCCGCCGATCCCCCTGACACTCTTCCCTTCACCTCCGCTACCGTCCGCCTCACCACCAAAGCCATGGCTCTCAAGCGATCACTAACTGCGGTTCTAGCATGTGCAATCGCCGTCTGCGCCCAGCTCGAGGGCCTCACCGAGTTGACGCCCTCTTTCCTCCCTCTCCAAGAAGATGCCGGCACGACATCGCTCTTCCCTATGCCGCCTTGCGGTAACTTTGACCTCGTTGAAGCTACCATCGACGACATTCAAGCTGCCATGGCAAACGGCACCTTGACCTCGACCCAACTCGTCATCTGCTGCCTGCAGCGGACCTACCAGACCCAGGACTACCTGCGCTCCATCGCCCAGGTAAATCCAGACGTCTTTGCCATTGCTGCAGCCCTCGATGCCGAGCGCGCCACGGGTTCTGTTCATCCTCATGGGTAGGTGCAATACGGCCTAGATCGCCGCATGATCTTAGCGCTGTCCGCTCATGGATTGGCGTGGCGGGCGGGGAGGACCTCTGATCGCGTCAGTCAATGACAGCCTAGGTACCTAGGTACTTTTCATAGGGAATCCCACCCACCTGGCGGGTCAGCACATTCACCACCGTTTCAACACAGTAACGAGCTTCAGCACGGTTTCGGAATTTTCAAAGTGCTATTTCCTGATGACTAGAGACTCGAAATCGGCGATTCATCGTTATATGAATCAATTCGCATGATCCTTGGCGTTCGTGCCTCCGTCTTTGAATCCCAGGAACTCGTTGAGTTAGTTGGCGAGGGCCCATGCTGTCTCGAAGAGCGCTGTTGATTACCACGCAGTCCGTCATTCCGCCAAGAAAGGACCGGTAATGTCTCCCAGGAACCTGAGCATGTCGCTGGGAGCACGGTAGGCTGTATCCGTCAGAGGGCGTATGCTCGAGACAGTTGAGTAACGGGAGTTCTCCGAAGAGGAGAGTTCTCGAAGTGGGGGTAGGAGACAACTTGGGCTAACACCCCGGTAAGTCCTTGGTTCTTTGCGTAGGAGACGTACAAACACTGGCAAGAAGACAGGCTCCCAAATATGCGCGATCAGCTGGGCCATGGGAAGTGATTTGGTTCGGGAGCAGTTCCGGGAATGGGCTCGGTCAGACAGTACCAATCACTCCAAAGCCTACCCGGGCTACAAGTTCTCGCCCGAGCGAGCAATTCGAGCAACGAAGAGACGGCACAGAACTGGTCCCGGAGAGGAGAGAGGGGCCCTACGGGGCACCATGAAGGTCGATCACGGCTCGGAGATGTCAAATGAGTAGAGTATTTGAAAATTGAGACGCCCTGGACAATTGCCGAACTACTTCAACCGTGAGATGCAGAACTACAGCAGTGAATCAAATAGGCCGGGTCTATACGCCTTAGCCTTTCTGGCAGAGGCACGACGCTGCGGCTGCTGAACGAGCTGGCTGGGTTGATGACGGAATTCCTTATCGTGCGGGTGCCTTCTCATCCCAGCGGGTAACGCCGTTGTACTGTATCGGTGCCTCATCGATATGAGACGTCGCAATCATTCTTCGGTGTCGCAAGTCCCAAACCGCCTGCATATTTTGCGGTGTCGACGTGGCAATACGAGTCATATAGGATGTGTTGTTGTTGCATCGCTGGAATGTTGCGAGTGGTGACGCTGTTGTCTGTAGGCACACCGTCGTGCTGACCCTTGGTGTTGTTGGTAAAGGCCGCAGGGAGCCTTGTGGCCACAAACCGGCATCTACTTCCTCGAATTTCAAAAGGCTCGCTCTCGCTCCGCAACGTTGTACGCCTTGAGTCAGTTGGCGTATCTGGCCAAGGCCCTAATAAATAACCACCGTTAAGTACCATTGGGAATAACCTCCCGACAGCCCCCCCCACCATCATTTCCACTGCTACCAGGCGAAGAGCACATGCACGAAAAGGGTCCTTGCCATGCCACTGCAGCCGCTTGTATCATGCAGGGTCGGCCAGGGGTTCATGGCCGTGGCAGCGGTGAGAATTGCCTGGATAAGAGAACGCGAAAAAAAAAGGGTCCTTCTGGCAAGATGCCGTGTTATCCGGCTTCACAGTGTCTCTGGATAGATCGGCACAAGGGAAACGGTAGAGCGGATCCGAGACCCCACCCCGCGCCGGCCAAGGGTGCCTTGGCAATCCGGCGTCCGGCGAGGTCATTGGTTCCCGTCCGCCGCCGGCCGGGGGGACCCACCACGGAGTCAACTGCGGGCTGCCGTGTGCGGAAGGGGGAAGGAGGAGGAGGCCTCCTGGGACTGGCTGGTAAAAAAGGTTGGGGGGGTCATGTTGCGAGATATTGATTCTGAAAATGAGGCTTTTAGGGGAACTGCGCATAGTAAGCCCGGTTTGGCCCCTGTTGCCGAGGATAAGAGGGAGGGAGGTTGGTGACAGGATGTCTTGCTCGTGGGAAAGAGACCTTTCGCTTTGGTGGGGGAAATATATTGCCTGGCCACCTTTTTTCCGGTCGGGGCCCTGTTGTAACGATGGGCCGGGGTGTGGGCAGGCACACACGGCAACGTTCCCATTGTCATCTGCTCACGAACTCACAAGACTCGGGGCCGCAATTCATGGGCGGTCCTAACCTCTGTAGGAATCGCCATGCGTGATCTAACCGTTGTCAAAATTAAACCGCAAGAAAATGCAAGAGCCTCACAAGCTTGGTTTGAAAGCTATTGATATCAATACCTATAAACGGGCGACCGCTCGTAAATCTCGCGTCAATGTGTCATTCGCGTCGAGGGGAATCTTGACTGTTGGATGGAATATCTCCACCAGGTCGGGAGTTCCCTGATCGACGCAAGGGGTTTGTTGCTAAATGTGGTTGTGGCTTCAACTTCCCTGTCTGTTAGTGCTTTGTGGCCAACGTTGTTCGGACGACATCTCAAGGTTGGGACGATTTTGAACGGCTGAGGAGTTTGTGGCGTTGATCCGGAAAGGCAGCGAGGCTCCGGAATGGCACACTCTTCTCAAATCGGCAGTTGAGTTTATGAAATGGCAATTAGCTATTCCCGTCCTAATAACCATCTGGGCTTTGTTTACGAGTTTTGGGATGAGCAGGGTGGGATGATTACCGCGGTGCCAAGTTGCGGTCAGGATTGCATGTGCCGTGTAGATAATGTCTGGCTTTCTGAGCGCCGACAGTAGGTAGGAGTCGGTAGCCGGGCAAACGAACACTCAACTGTGAGACCGGCGCCATCTCGCTTGCACTCACACGACACACACTTCCCTGCCGTAAAGTTTGCGAGCGGAACCTTTTGAAAGACAAGATAGCATAGCATACTTGAGGTGACCCATGACGGGACATTGTTCGGCCCGTTTCGCATTGCCTTGCGCACTGGTTGTCAGGAGAAGGGGCTGAGCCGGTCCGAATCGCCGGACATCGTGCACCTGAAGAAGCGAGCGGCAGCATATCTCAGCCTGGGGCAGGGATTATTCATGGTGGACACTGCTAATTTGGCCAGGTGCTGCTCGTTGACGACGATGAAAAGCTTTACTCGAGCGTAAGCGGCGGGATTCGGTAGCAAACATATGCCGCAAAATGGTCAGACCATATTTTTTTGCAGTTGGATGGGTTTGGGCATTGATCTTCGCGACGGTTTTGGGCCGGCGCCATTCTTGGCTCGCGTGCGTCGGGGATGGAATTCAGAAAATTTCCATGATTGGCTTCCGCGTGAAGATACTCTCCGCGGAACAGGCGCAGTCGTCAAGTGAGAAACGGGGCGGAGCGTAGCACTTCTTCTGCAGGTTGCCGGGGTCAGGGTGCCAAGCAGGGCTTCTTAAATGAGAACACTCAGGTTGGAGAGAGAAGCGGCAGGCAACTGGGGGCGGTTCATGCAGGGAGAGAGATGAAGCGAAGAGGTTGGAATCCCTTTTTGCCAGGTAGACAATGTGAACCTCCATCCTGCACCGGCCGTTTCGTCGTTGCTTGGTCGTTGTGGTCTTGTCCCTGGGACTCCGGAAAGGCCCGAAGGGGGAGAGCAGAAACGAGCTGGAACTTTGAAACAAGCGGCCATGGCCGGCCATTTTTTGGAGAAACAATCCAGACCACAGTGCCAAGGTCGAGTCGTACATGCTGATCTTGGGCCCCGGGAGAGCCCGAAAACAAAGCGATCGGAACTCGAGGACGGACTTTGGGATATTGATGCTGGCTTGTTTTTCGTCGTCGGTGGTCTTGCATGGTGAAACAGTGCCTGAGAACAACCCGCAAATTCCCGATTCCAGATTTGGACCCTTGTGAGGCGGCGGCGTTTCATTCGGCAAGGGACCCATAGTGTCGTCATAGCAAAACGGGCCTTGCACAGACTTGGCCATCTGCCACACCAAACACACAACCCATCGACCAGGTTGCAGAAACGGTCGAAGCGGTAACTGAATATGTATTTGTGTGGTGCATCTCGGGGTTTCAAGAGGCAGCGCGGTCGCAGAAACGGTCGACTCGCGAATATGAAAGGCAGGTGAATCCCCCTTGGGGTCGGCTGGGCCAGATTCGGTGCTTGCAAGAGATCCGTTTCGGCCCCGATCTGGCCGGTCTTTGTCATGTTGGGCCAGTTTCGGCAGCCAGACCCTCCAAGTGTCCAGCCAGCCGAAACGGAGCCAAACCAAAACGGTGCTCCATCCCTCATTATTCACGCACTGTGAGGGATTACGTCGCTCACGCTTGAGACTGACATAATTGAGTGCAGCTGCGGCGTGACGTCATAGGTTCCGTTTTTGTCTCGATCGCCAATCTCGCAGGGATAGGGCTGGCACCGCAGAGTTGTTGCTTGCTGTGGGAACGGATAACGAATTGCGCTGCGGGGTTGATTGGTGTTGAGTTCAATTACTGGCCACGACCGGAGTCTTCAGCGCTCAAGAAGAAATAAAACAAACTGTTCGCAAAAACAAAGCGGATAGGATTAAGATATCTCATCCTGGGGACGACACGTGCGGAACGGTGAGGCTTGACGCATGTTCTCCGAGACACCGGGTGGCTTGCCGCTACCCAGCCACTCACGGCCCGGATGGCAACTTGGCTTGCATCGCCATGGCGGCGTGGCGGGTGTGCACAGCGGCATATTGGACCCTTGGTGTTACCCGACCCGTCGTTGAAGAAGAGAGCCCTGTCTTGGACCCCTGCAGTGCCCGCGCACGAACAAGAATCGGGCGGCAGCTGCCGCTGTCTTGGAATATGACGTGAGGCCGGCATGCCCCGATTCCGGATTGTATGTCTGTGTCTGTACGCAGATTAACCCTCCGGAGTGGGCAGAAACAAGCCTGAATGCAATGAGGTGATTTGGTCGTCATCCAACGAGGTTTTCATGCTCGCCATTGTGGTCGGCCAACAATGGCTGTTCAGGTTTGTGGCGACGCGGTTTCGGCCGCCCAGGGCCGTTTCACCGTCGCCGAGGCCATCGAGCCCAGAGCCAAGGATGTCTTATCTGCAGCCTGACGAAGCATAGAACTGACCCAGCCAGCGGGTGATGGATCAATTGGCCCTGCGTGCCCTGTCAGCCAGAGCCAATTGTGCCAATATTCGATCATTCGATCTTCCATTTCATTCCGAAGCAGCTCGCCAAGACAAGGAAAGGAAGTCCACTTCCATTTTCTGGGGCGTTCATCCAGAGGAGGAAAAACGGAGGTGTGGGTCAGTGGGACTTGCACCTGCTGGCGACTGGTCGGTCACAGCAGGAGGGGCTGTTTGGTGACGGTGGGGCCCACAACTCGCCCCTTCCGTCCCATCGCATAACCGGACACAACCGGACAAGCCACAGCAGCCGTCACACAAGGCCCACCGATGATCCAAACGGCTGATGGTCTGGCCCAAGGGTCAAGACAGGTTCCGGTCCAGTGTCCACTATCGTCGTCAGAGTGCGATGCTTTCCAGTTCTATAAAGACAAATGACTTCCCCCCGATGCCTGGCCAGTTCCTTCTCTTGTCTCCAGACACAAACAAAGTGACTCCATCACCATCAACAATTCGCCATTAGGCTAACACACATCCGTCCTTCAATACATCAGATCCTTTGTTGCATCTTTCAACAACAAACGCCACCTACTCATCCTCTCATCACCTTAAATCGATTCGTCGATCCCGCCATCTCTATCCTCCTTCATCACTTCCAACGAAACACACATCACCGCCAAGATGGTAGAAAGGAACGCTCCCAAGAAGGCCGTCCACTTCGGTGCTGGCAACATCGGTATGAGACCCCAGATATTGCATCGTCTCCGGGGCAACGCTAACCCTTGATGATCCAGGTCGTGGTTTTGTCGCCTGTTTCCTGCACAACTCTGGCTACGAGGTCATCTTTGCCGAGGTTAACGACGCCACGGTAAATAAGCTCAACGCCCAGAAGACCTACAAGGTGATCGAGGTCGGCGCCGATGGGACATCAGAGTCCACCATCACCAACTACCGGGCCATCAACTCGAGGACACATGAGGCCGATCTCGTCCGGGAAATCGCAACGGCGGACTTGGTCACCTGCTCCGTCGGCCCCCACATCCTCAAGTTCCTTGCACCCGTCATCGCCAAGGGTATCGATGCGCGGTCAACAGACCTCACCCCTGTCGCTGTCATCGCCTGTGAGAACGCCATTGGCGCCACCGACACCCTCGCCGAGTTCATCAAGGCTCCCGAGAACACCAACCCAGACCGTCTTGCCGACTACGACAAGCGTGCCCGGTTCGCCAACTCGGCCATCGACCGCATCGTCCCCGCGCAAGACCCCGACGCCGGCCTGGACGTGAGGCTCGAGAAGTTCTACGAGTGGGTGGTCGAGAGCACCCCGTTCGAGGACCACGCGCCGCCCGCCGTCGAGGGCATCCACTGGGTGAGCAACCTGCAGCCGTTCATCGAGCGCAAGCTGTACACGGTCAACACGGGCCACGCGACGGCGGCGTACCACGGGTACATCCGGCGGAAGAGCACCGTGTACGACGCCCTGCAGGACCGCGAGATCCAGGAGGAGGTCCGCAAGGCGCTCGCCAACACGGCCAGCCTGATCACGCAGAAGCACGGCATCCCGCCGGCCGAGCAGCAGGCCTACGTCGACAAGATCGTGCGCCGCATCGGCAACCCCCACCTCGAGGACGCCGTCGAGCGCGTCGGCCGCGCCCCGCTGCGCAAGCTCAGCCGCAAGGAGCGCTTCATCGGCCCCGCCGCCGAGCTGGCCGAGCACGACAAGGACTGCGCCGCCCTGCTCGACGCCGCCGAGATGGCCTTCCGCTTCCAGAACGTCGAGGGCGACGACGAGTCGTTCAAGCTCGCCGAGATCATGGGCCAGAACGCGCCCGAGGACGTCGTCAAGCAGGTCTGCGGCCTCGAGCCCAAGGAGAAGCTCTTCCCGGCCGTTGTTGATGTCGTCAAGCGCGTCCAGGCTGATACTCAGTCGGACTAAGCCGGCGACGCAGCGGTCGCGGTTTCATCATCTTCCTGTCTTCTTGTCTTTGATGATTTGATGCTCATTTCTGGGCTTTGTTCCCGCCTTTGAAAGGCCATGGGTGCGGATTGGGTAGCGATTGGGATCTTTTTTGGCAACGCATGGTTTCGGCGTTTAGATTGGCTGTGATTCCTTTTCCTTTGTCTGTCTTGAGCATCAGTGGGAATCACGACGCGACGCACCTCAGCATGGGCGCCTAGAGGAGTTTGGGGTATTTTGCAGATCCTAGACAGGGAAATAAAGATATCAAAACGTGCTTGCGCGACTTCCTTGCAATCTGCGTGACGTGTTTTAGTTGTGATGTTTCGAAAGAGATCCATTATGAAGTGACGATCAAATTTGGCATTCGATGTTTTATCCCAATTATCGTGAGAGCTGAAGTAATTATGATGATGCCATAGCTTCGTGGCGCGGACGCAGAACGCCAGGGCTTGCTTGCCAGAGCGAAAGGACGTTGAGGGGGAATTGAAGCCATCGTGAGCGAGGCGTTGGGTGTGGCAGGCTGCTTGGCGGTAGACCTGGCTCGTGCGCCCCCCTGCTGATTGTGGCCTGAGGCACAGTTTTCAAACTGCATTACCTAATCTTCCTCCCACCTGCGGCTGGATTGACCACATTGGCGAAATTGAGGAAGCGTCCAGACCTCAACGCTACGATACGTGGCTGGCACCTTGATATTTACCGACTGCCTTGCCCACTGCGATTATCGAGTCGCAGCGTCTTCACACCTTCTCCTGGGACACTTTTTCCACAGTCCCGGCGCCAGACGAACCTCCTCCATCGACGATCCATTACCGTTCGCTGCCCCTTTCCACAAGTCGACTCGGTTGTTCTCCTCGTCAACCACCCCGCCAAAGCTACCCGAGCTCGACAACCGCATCCTAAAATCCACGTTTGGTGTCGCCCAAAATGAGGCTCGATGTGAAGGCAGGTTGCACACCTCTCCCTTCCCAATACCGGCACGGTGTCACGGACAACCTGGCCCCAAGCTCCACGCTCTTGGGGCACCGCTAGCTAGCGCGTGCTGTCGGGAGCTTGGTTTCCTCTGGGGCCCTTCTTGCCCGGTCCCATGCCCTGCCGTGGAATGCGCCCATTGAGGATTGACTTCTCCACGAACGGCTTGCTAACATGTTTTCCCACGCACAGCGTCAGCTCTTTGCTCGCTCCGAGGTATGTCGCGGTTCTCCCAGGTACCCCGCCCGCAACGTCGCTAATAAACTTCCCAACAGCGAGTCAAGGGCATCGACTTCCACCCGACAGAGCCGTGGATCCTCAGTACGCTTGCTTCTCCGCGACGATCTCCGACCGATTTCTGACCTTCATGTTACAGCAACTCTCTACAGCGGCCACGTCTACATTTGGTCATACGAAACGCAGCAAGTTGTCAAGACATTCGAGCTCACTGATGTCCCTGTCCGTGCCGGTCGCTTCATTGCGCGCAAGAACTGGATTGTCTGCGGGTCGGATGATTTGTATGGCCCCCTCGACCTGTTGCGTGCTTTCGACGGAGGAACTAACCCCTGGGTGACAGCCAAATCCGGGTCTACAATTATAACACCAGCGAGAAGATCGCTTCGTTCGAGGCCCATCCCGATTACATCCGCGCCATCGTGGTTCACCCGACACAACCCTTCGTCCTCACCGCTAGCGATGACATGACCATTAAGCTGTGGGATTGGGAGAAGGGGTGGAAGAATGTTCGGGTATTCGAGGGCAACTCGCGTACGTGGATGGCGGGCGTGGCGGTCTCGGTATGGAGTCATACTGACAATACGGCTAGACTACGTCATGTCGCTCGCGATCAACCCCAAGGACACCAACACATTCGCCTCGGCCTGCTTGGACAGGACTGGTATGTCAGTTTTCTGCCCGACGATGGGCCCTCTTCTAACACACCACTAGTGAAGATCTGGAGCTTGGGATCTTCGACACCCAACTTCCAATTGGAAGCGCATGAAACCAAGGGTGTCAACCATGTGGACTACTACCCCCACAGCGATAAGCCCTACCTGCTCACCACCTCAGACGACGTAAGCATATCATGCCAGGCGTGGTAGCAGCAACAGCTAACAAGGTCGCTAGCGCACAGTAAAGGTGTGGGACTACACAACCAAGAGCTTAATCGCGACACTAGAAGGCCATACCAACAACGTCTCCTTCGCGTGCTATCACCCTGAGCTGCCGATCATCATCTCCGGTTCGGAAGATGTATGCGATCCCCAACTAATTAATGACTGGAGCCTGTGCTGACGATCGCTAGGGGACCGTGAGGATATGGAACGCCAACACATATCGCTTTGAGCAGTCGTTGAACTACGGCCTAGAACGGGCGTGGTGCGTGGCATACCAGAAGGGCAAGCAGGGCGTTGCGGTGGGCTTCGACGATGGTTCGGTGGTCATCAAGCTGGGTCGCGAGGAACCTGCGGTGTCGATGGACGGCTCCGGAAAGATCATTTGGGCCCGGCACAACGAGGTGGTCTCGGCCGTGATTAAAGGCGGCGAGTCGACCAAGGATAACGAGCCGATCAACCTCAGCACAAAGGAGCTGGGTAACGCAGAGGTTTACCCCCAGGGCCTCATCCACTCCCCGAACGGGCGGTTTGCGGCCATCTGCGGCGACGGGGAGTACATCATCTACACAGCCCTGGCTTGGCGCAACAAGGCCTTCGGCCAGGCGCTCGATTTCGTCTGGGCGTCCAAGGACAACTCGAACGACTTCGCGATCCGCGAGTCGGCCACCAGCATCAAGGTGTTCAAGAACTTCCAGGAAAAGAAGGGGGGCCTCGATGTTCCATTTGCGGCCGACGGGCTCACGGGCGGCGTACTGTTGGGTGTCAAGGGGCAAGGGGGTATCTCCTTCTACGACTGGGCCACAGGGGGCCTCGTACGGCGCATCGAGGTGGAGCCTAAGCAGGTCTACTGGAGCGAGAGCGGCGAGTTGGTGGCTCTCGCTTGTGAGGACACCACCTACGTCTTGAGGTTCTCGAGGGATAACTACAACGAGGCGCTCCAGGCTGATCAAATTGAGGACGACGGCGTCGAGGCCGCCTTCGACGTGGTCACCGACATTAGTGAGAGGTAAAATATTCCGCTCTGGACTCCAATGGATATCTTTGCTAACCCGAATGTAGCATTCGGTCTGCGGAATGGCTTGGAGACGTGCTAATCTACACCAATGGGACCAACCGGTTGAACTACCTGGTCGGCGACCAAACCTACACGGTCGCGCACTTTGACAAGCCCATGTACATCCTCGGCTACCTGCAGCGCGACAGCCGGGTGTACCTCACCGACAAGGACCTGTCTGTCACGTCGTTTGCCCTCTCGCTTCCGGTCCTGGAGTACCAGACATTGGTCCTCCGCGAGGATATGGACACGGCCGCCGAGCTCCTCCCTAGCATCCCGCAGGACCAGCTCAACAAAATCGCCCGGTTCCTCGAGGGCCAGGGCCACAAGGAGCTCGCGCTGGAGGTTGCCACCGACACGGAGCACAAATTCGACCTCGCCCTGTCGCTGAACCAGCTGGATGTCGCCCTGGAGCTGGCACGCCAAGCCGACGCGGACCACAAGTGGAAGACATTGGGTGATGCGGGCCTCGCTGCTTGGGACGTGCCGCTCGCGACTGAGTGCTTCGTCAACGCCAAGGACCTCGGCTCGCTCCTGCTGGTTTACACGTCTACGAACGACCGCGCCGGGCTCGCCAAGCTCGCGGAGCAGGCGTCGCAGGCGGGCGCGCACAACGTCGCCTTCAGCTGCAAGTGGTCCCTGGGCGACGTCCAGGGCTGCATCGACGTGCTTGTCGGCACCGGCCGGCTCGCCGAGGCCGTCCTGTTCTCCCAGACCTACCAACCGAGCCTGACGGCCGGGCTTGTCACGCAGTGGAAGGAGGGCCTGGAGAAGAACAAGAAGGGGCGCGTCGCCAAGGCGCTGGGTATGCCCGGCGAGGATGAGGAGCTGTTCCCGGAGTGGGACGAGTGGCTCAGGCTGGAGAAGGGAGGCCCCGCCCCCGCTGCCGTTGCTAAGAAGGCTGATGATGAGGAAGAAGAGGAGGAAGAATCGGAGGAGGAGGAAGATGATGACGAGGAGGAGGAGAGCAGCGAGGAGGAGGTTGAGTAGTGCCCCGGTTGCTGTATGCTTCCGCGCAACATGCAGAACGGAGGGTACGGGCGGGGGTTAGTTACTGGCGTCTAAGGAGGTTGTCATGTTTGGGAGAGAGCAGCGACAAAAAGCTCTGTTCTGTTTAGCAGAAATGATTACTATGTTGAGTATGATCATGGCTTGTTTCATTGGGATCACAAGCCACCACCACCGCCATAGGTGAGCTCGTCACATCACACATCAACATTTGTTGCTTTTCGGTTTGCGAGGCCAATCAAACCCCGATTTTATGGACCCCAATGCTGGCCGGGGTCGGCCGACAAGGGGTCTTCAGCTGACGGCTGGGGATCCATGTGGGGCCTTCGCGATTTCGGCACCTTCGGAGCACGGAGCCGGAGGGAGGGGACACCCGCGACCCGACGGCCTTGCATTTTGAGGGTCTGTTTGTGCAGCAACTGGTCCCAAATCAAAACAACAAACAGCCACTGCCCCCTTTTCTCTTGTACATGGTTAAACTGCCGGCCTCGACGACATCTCGATCCCCTCCCACCACTCGACATCCGCGTCCCCCACCTTTCCGCGCATAACGTTGCTCTGTACCCCACGTTACTAATCAGCCTCGAGCTGAGCAAACGCGACAATGGCCGATGCGCCAGCGGAAAAGACAACAAGCGCCGGCCAAGATGTTGGCTACCCGCATGGGCATTTGGGGCACTTGACGGAGGGGGAAGAGAACCAACTAAAGGCGTTCAAGGTCTTCCTCGAGGAGAAGGACCTTTACAAGGCCGGGCCCCCTCCTTCACACGATGACCAAACTCTGTTGTGAGTACCGCAGGAGCGCCGGTGTGTGTGTTGGTGGTCCTGCAGTGCGCTAATCCTTCTTCTGCGTTGCCCACGCATAGGCGCTTCCTCCGCGCACGGAAATGGGTTGTCAATGACGCCTACCAGCAGTTCAAGGACACCGAGGCGTGGCGGCAGGCCAACCACTTGAACGTCCTGTACGACACGATCGATGTGGACGCATATGAGCAGACGCGGCGTTTGGTATGAAGGAAGGCCCTGGATTTGGATGCGCAGGAAAGCTGGGCTGACTTGGACGATCGCAGTATCCCCAATGGACAGGGAGGAGAGACAGGAGGTTTGTTGGCCCCGTTCCGGCGCTCACTGTACCGCTCGCTAACCACGCGCTTCCGCACAGAGGCATCCCGCTTTACCTCTTCCAAATCCGCCACCTCGACTCCAAGACCGTGTCCGCCTACGAAAAGGCCTCGGAATCCGCCAACGTCAGCAAAGCGGAGACAGACGGCTCGACCCCGCAACGGCTCCTCCGGCTGTTCGCCCTCTACGAGAACCTGACGCGGTTCGCGCAGCCGCTGTGCACGGAGCTGACGGACCGGGAGCACGCGGGGACGCCCATCACGCTCAGCACCAACATCGTGGACGTGTCGCAGGTGTCGCTGCGCATGTTCTGGAACCTCAAGGCGCACATGCAGGCGGCGTCGACGCTGGCGACGGCGCACTACCCGGAGACGCTCGACCGCATCTTCATCATCGGCGCCCCTTACTTCTTCAGCACCGTCTGGGGCTGGATCAAGCGCTGGTTCGACCCCATCACCGTCTCCAAGATCTTCATCCTCAGCGCCGCCGAGGTCCGCCCCACGCTCGAGGCCTTCATCGAGCCCCGCAACATCCCCAAGCAGTACGGCGGCGAGCTCGAGTTCGAGTTCTTCGACCGCCCCAACGTCGACCCGAATATCAAGGACGCTGTGCGCTGGGAGGGTGGCCACACCGACTTCCCCGCGGGCCCGCTCTACTGGGTGCCGGTGGATGACGGCGCCCGCCTCGCCTGCATGGCTGTCGGGAGTAAGGACGGCAAGGAGCGCCGCGAGAGGGTCGGCACCATCCCGGTCACGTTTCCCAAGGGGGAGATGGCCGCGCAGCCCGTGGCTGACGCTGCTGTTGCTGCTGCTGTTGCTCCGGTGGCGGAGGCGTCAACAGCGCCCGCCGAGGCTGCGGTTGAGGGAATCCAGAAATTGTCGATCACCGACAACAATGTGGCGGGCGAGATCGAGGAGAAGGTGGCTGCCGGCGCTGGGGGGCAGCAGCCAGATCAGAAGGCGACGGCAGTTCCCAGTTGAGCGGGGCATGAGGGGGTGCATACCATACAACAAGACCTGGAGAGCGCTTTGCATAGTTGGGGGTTGTGTTTGGCGCAGCTCAGATAGATACCTTTCTGATTCGACCTTTTTGGGGTTACTTAGGGACTTGGGGGCTTGGATATGGTTGCAAATCTATGTGCGGATAGAATATTACTTCCTTCTGGGGGCCCGGTTGGCCAATATTTGTGTCGGAAACCCTCTTATGTGCCTAAAATCGCGCGCGTGTAACAATCGTACACTACACTACTACGTGTGCCTCTGTTTATCCTGGTCACGCGGATCGTCCCCGCTGGTTCTTCCTTGACCACGATCCCAGCCACCGGCAACGGCACGCTTTGTCGCCGCCAGTGTAGTACCTTACGCGGCGCGGTGGCCTATCCCACCTGTCCGGTCCAGCTCCCCAAACCCGTGTATGCCTCCGACCGGCCTGTCTATCTCTAACACAAACATCTACGCAACATCTACGCTGTGCTAAATCCCGGCCCTCGTCTCACGCCGCCCCCTGGTTCCCCCGCCACTGCATGATCCCCTTCTCCAGCTCCTCCCACGTCAACCCATCCCGAATCAGCCTCATCGTCACCCCCAAGCTCTCCACCTCCAGATTCGGCCGCTCGTCATCAAAAAACAACATCTGACTAAACGGAATCCCCGTCCGCTTCGCCAGCACCTCAAAATGCCTCAGCTTACTCCCCTCATAAATCTCCAACCCCGCATCAAACGCATCAATCGTCCTCTTCGGCCCGCCCTTCTCCCCCCCACCACCCCCAGGCACCCCCTCCGCCAGCGGCAGCGGCGGCGGCAACCGCAACAACTTCAACACCTCGCGACACAGATCGCCCACGGGCGATTTACTCGCCACCGCCAGCCGCGTGTTGGGCAGCGCGGCCAGCAGGCGCAGGATGTGGGGCGCGTCGGGGTACAGGGCGAAGTACTCGCCGTTGCGGTCGGCGAGGGTGGGCGGGTGGGAGCTGGGCACGAGGCGCACGGGCGTCGAGATGTGGATGTCCGAGTAGAAGGGCCAGAGCGTGTAGTCGAGGTCGAGCACGATTAGGTGGGGGAGGGCGTGCCCGTCGTGCAGGCAGGCGGGGGGGGTGAAGGTGATCGGGGGGGTGGTGGATGATGGGTTGTCGGCGGTGGGTTTGGTGAGTTTTTTGCTTTTGGCCATGGTGGTGGTGGAATTGGGGGTTGTCGGGGGGCTGGAGGTGTTTGTTGTTTTGGTTTGTATTGTGTGTTTGGGCGAGTTCGGTGTTGCGTTTCGCGATGGGAGGCACAGGAACGCGGGGCACGTCTTTGGCGATCAGTGGGTTAGGGTTAGCTACCCGGGACACGTCCCAGGCGCAAGGTTCAGAGACCCCTGCTTCTACAATTCCCATTCTCGGGGCCCCCAATTCTCCGCCTTAACCTGTACGAATGTCCGAGACAGTGATATGCCATCGCACCAAAACCCACTGCAAGAAGGTCGGCGTCGGGCCCAGCCTCTTTCACTTCTTATTAACGTGAGATCCCCCGATTAGGGGTTCCCATTCAATGATTCGTATTCTTGTTGCGTCGTCCCGAAGATGAACTCGAGGGGTTTACCCAGGGCCCGCCATTGGCTGGCTCAGAGGAATCACCGAGTTAAGGTGCGAGGCCAAGCAAGCAAGTGCCGCTTGTTTGACCGGGCGGTATCTCAAGGATCTCGTTGATCGCAGCATCCCAAGGAATTGAATTGCCGACCTGTGTCACCCGCTTGACCCCACTAAGCCTACCAATGCCCCGCGTGGCACTGACAACCGGAGTATCCCCAAACATGGGAACGGACTCCAGATATAACCCCCGCTGCTTCAGGGACTGGTGGAAGAGAAGTTTCTTTCCTTCTCTCGCGGACAAGGTCTAGATTCAAGCGAGATCACGACAGCCATTGAACAGTAAAAACCTCGCTGCCTCACACTGACTGTGACCGGCTCGGCGCACTCGAAACCGGCCTCGTCCGGAATCCGACATACGTAACACGCCCATACGTAACCCACTATGGCGTCCGGACTGCCATCAAACCCGCTCAAGAAGATTCAGCTGGTGCGAATAGCCCATGTGTGGTACAAACACGCCGACATCGAAAAGGCCAAGCAGTTCGCCCTCGACTTTGGCTTCGTAGAGACGGGCCAGGTTGGCAAGACGACCTTCTACCGAGGATATGGCACCGAACCGTTCGCCCTCGCCGCCGAGGCATCGGACAAGGACGAGTTTGGTGGAGCGGCATTTGTAGTCGAGTCGGAGGAGGACTTGGTCCACGCGTCCAAAACGTTACCGAAAGAGTGCAGGGCAACCGAGGTGCATGAGATGAAGGACATTCCAGGCGGCGGCAAGAGGGTTACTTTCTACGACCCCGTCGACGGATTCCCGTTCCATCTTGTGTACGGCCAAACACCTGTTGCGAGGGAGGACCCGGGGTTCCCGTCAACCAGGTACAACTATGTAGGCTTCGTTCGGCTCCCTTATTTACGCGCCAGTTTGCTTACACTGCCCAGCCCGTCGAGAAGAACCGCGGTGTCAATGAGTTCCAGCGTTTCCAGAAACGGCCGGCACCGGTGCACAAGCTCGGCCATTTCGGCATGTGCGTGACCAACTATGCCAAATGCTACGAGTTCTACAGCAGCTACTTCAACTTCCACCCCAGCGAGGTACCTAACGCCCTAACCGCGCCCTTTTCTTCTTGTTTCATTATTAACCGTGACCTCGATAGCTTGTTCACAACGATGACAAGGTCGATATCACCGTTTTCTTCCGGCTTGACCGGGGGTAACGAGCTCGTAGACCACCACTGCTTCTTCTTTTTCGAAGGCCCCAAGATGCACGTCCATCACTCCTCGTTTGAAACACACGACTTTGACGCTCAGGTCCTGGGCCACGACTGGCTGCGCCAAAAGGGGTACACCAACTGCTGGGGTGTTGGCCGCCATGTCATGGGGAGTCAGATCTTTGACTACTGGTGGGTTTGAGGCGGTGCTGTCATGTTTGCCGTCGAGGTGGGCTGCTAACAGGACTGCAGGTTCGACCCCGCCGGCTTCATCATGGAACACTATGTCGATGGCGACTTGCTTGATATGAAGGAGCCGACTCATCACACGAAAGCGGCACCGGATAATTTACACGTCTGGGGTGAGCAAGGCGTTGTCCCGCTACGTGTTGGGTATGAACTAACTTCCGCACAGGACCCGATGTTCCTCCAACGTTTTTGCAATGATTGGGAAGGGGGACGGTGAGAAAGGCCTAGCGCATCCTCTTATTCACTCGCGTGAGTATCTTAGTATGACGAGGTTTGTGCGGGCCGTTGTCGTGACCTGAGGATAATCAACGGTAATGTAGGCAATTGTCAAGGCCGGCATTGGTACGTCTCACGCATGTATCTATAGGTACTGTTACCCCTGGCGATATTCCTAGGCCAGGAGGTCGATGTAAAAAGGTCGTCCGAGAAGTGGTCGCTCCCTGTCAAGCAAAGAACGTGAGGTTCACACCATCTTCACCAGCCTGACTTACTACCTACCTAGACTTCCAAGTTAGCCAACGAAGCTGTTGCTTCTGCCTGGTACTTGTGGTATGCCTGGCAGTGTCCCGCGATCTCCCACAGCCAACAGGACTTCTCATGCGGGCATCACGTCCAGAAATAGTAGCCAATCATGCCAAGACGGTGACTGCCCCCCTTCTTGCTTGCCTTCAACACGGTGCACAAACCTCCCACGCATACCCATCACCCTCCCTGCCCTTTTTCCCAATGCACACCGACTTTTCCCCGCCCCCCTTAACACCCAACACGATCGATCATGGCAACCCCCAGGGATGCCCCTCGATTGACCAGGATTCGCTATGTTGGCGACGGCCTTGTCATGTCGGCTATATTCACATTTGACTTCAACGGCGGGTGCTTCGTCACTGTATTGGCGAGTCCGACGGATGAAGCTGGGGGCGAGGCTCTTGTCCCGGCCGATTACCAATTCGATGAGTCTATCGAGGGAAAGATTCTGACAGAGCTGACTGACCTCACCTGGGGCACCGTCGAGGAGGTAATGACAAAGAAGAAGGAAATCAAGCGTCTCGAGCAGCAGCTCGGGGAGTTGGTTGCCGATGTGTGCCGCCCGACCATGCACCGCCTCATGCACACGCCAATTCCGGAGGCCCAAACATTGGAGGACTACCTTTACCCTCAAACTTACATGTTGCAAGTCGTCACCGACTCGGCAGGCGACAACCTGGCGTGCCGAACCTTGGACGGCCCAGGCCATGCCGGGGTCCCCGAGCTCCATCCGCCAATATCTGACGAAAGGCTTCGTGGAATGGGTCTCGACCTGGAGGCGACCGACATTCCGGTCGTTAAGCCACCGCAGATCATTTTGAACCGTCGTCTACAGGGCTTTGTCTGGAAAGTAACAATCGATGGGGAAGAGATGATTTGTAAGGTATCGATCGACGCCTTCGAGTATGCAATAGGCGACGAACTTGCGGCCTATCTCAAAATCAGATCAGCTAGGGTGAAGTTAAGGGTCCCTGAATTAAAGGGTTGGTACTAATGAGAATGCCCTATTTGTTTGCTACGCTGTTTCAACATCTAACACAGTACTCTAGGAATCGTCCAGTCCCATAGGGGAGTGATTGGCATCCTGCTTGGCTACATCCCCCACAAGCACCACAACCTTCGCGCTTTGCTGGCCGAGACAAGTACTGCAGTATCGAGCGAGACGACGACAGAACTCAGGTACAAATGGGCAGCACAAATTCGGGGGACGTTGGAGGAACTACACAGTCTAGGTATTCTCTGGCGTGACATCAAAACTGATAACGTCCTTATTGACGAGAATGGGGATGCGGTTGTTCTCGACTTTGGTGGCGGGAACACCATGGGCTGGGTCGACCCCGATAAGTACGGCACTATGGAAGGCGACGAGCAGGGGCTCCTGAAGATTATGAAGGCGCTAGAAGTTGGGATTTGAATCACGAGACTCACACAACATCCGGGTGTGTGCTTTGGGTAGGAGTACCGGTATTATTGTTTGGATAATATATCGAGCGGAGCTTCTTGCGTAGACACACAAAGCAAAATTATCGCCCTTCAGAACCACAAATACCTAACATAGGTCTCCCTTCTTTTCAGTTGCTAGTTCCCTCGCAGTGTAATGACGGAGTGGCGGCTGCAAGGGCTACGCGCGCGACACGACCCTCTGTCTTCGACAGGTCGATGTATTCTCGTAGTACCACCAGTCCCGGTATCTAACAGGAACATGTCACTTCCCTGAGGCTTTCCGCCGAAAAGGGTGGAGAACACCGGTTGTCGTGTATTCTTGCTTGGTGACCACGTCCTCCCCCTGAAGCTGCTTCTCAACGTTCTTCCAAACCTCAGCTACCACCGGCCTATCCGTAGCACCGCCGATATTCATCTCATGACGCGTTAGTTTGCGAGGCCCTTCCAGTTGTGGTAGCAGCACGCCACTTACCAACGACGGCACAATCGCCCAGCGCTGCAGCACCGTTCCATCGTTCTTCAACACAAGCAGTGCTGGTTGGGCCATGCCGTGCTTGTATCCCCGTAGCCGGTAAAGCTGTGAGTCGCTGATGACCACATCGAGCAACTCTTTGTTCTTGAGGTGCTTAGCGAGCGAGTTCTCTGGGTCGACAATCACTTTGTCGGAGAAGCCCGCAGACGACCGAACTTTGTCCAGATGTTTGGGCGCCTCCGCCGTAGCCGCGGCGATCACGCCCCCGGCAGCCTTGACCTCATCCGAGATAGCTACAAGCTCCTTCAAATAGGCGATACAGAAGGGGCACCAGTGGCCACGGTAGTCTACACTCCAAGAATAAGAGCTTGGCTCATGAGAGGTCAAGATAGGAGTATACACTTACACACGAGGAACACAAAGGCGGAGGATTGGTGAAGCTGGTGAAACTCCTCGACTGGGTTAGGGTTATTGCTTGCTGCCATGGTTCAGTACTGTACAAGGTGGGCTTTGGATCTAGGTTCGAACGACACCCAAGATCCATCAGCGGGAAGAATTCTCAGCGATGTTTAACTATCAGCCGCTGTTTGGAACTCTTAACCATGAAGTCATGATAATCGGGGTCCGAAAAGAGAACGATCAGTAATCACGGCGGGACTTAACCCCGAGTCCGAGTGGCAAGGCGGGCTGCTAACCATGCAAGGGATGTTAGTGAGACGAGTCACTTGCTTGTACATACAGCTACTACAGGGTTGGCTGTGTTCAAACTGGTGAGTGACAACACTAATGCTCCCGGGAAAGGGGGTCGTCGCTGGCCTAACTAGTGGCTGAACGAGAATAAGCGACCACTTGGCACAAGGTCATACCACGCAAGACTCAAGAACAAAGACAACGAGCGCATCGCTTTACACCTATGTGACATGGCTACCAAGTCTAACCAGCGGATACAGCTAGACAAGCCAACGGTACGGCTGGTCGTCGGTGAGCGAAGCAGTACGTTCCTATTTCCGCTTCAACATAAAGGTCTCTGACAATGCGGTTCAGCATGTGACTCAGCTGTGAAGGCGATACCACTAGAACTAGATCTTAGAGACGGTGCTCTCGGATGTCTGTTGTCGAACCACTGCCGCATTTGGTCGACACGGATAGTCACCGTGTCGGCGGCGGTGGCTGGACAGCTGTGGGGGTGAGGACCCGAAACCGAATCACGGTTTTTGGATTTCAAGCGTCTTGCAAGGGAGAATAAACGTAAGTGGTCTTGCCCCAAACAAAGCCAACACTGTTTGGGTTGGCCACGAGCCATCCCATTGATATATTAGTATCCCAAACACATGACGATCCAGGCCCAGCGTCAACGCCAACACGTCCGCCCTCGCCGGTCACAACCCCGAGAGAACTCAGCCAAGAGTTGCTGAAATTCCACCAATCAGATCCTACCAGGTAACCACAAAGGTGCCGACGGGCGGGTACAAAACGACGACGGCAAAAATTACCTACCTTCATCTCCATTGCTCTATATCTCAAGAATCTTCCTCCCCAAGATCAACCCCAACATCCATCACCATGGCGACCGCCCTCCTCTCCTCGCTCCAACAAGCCAACCTCCTCCCATCCAAAGCCATCCCCGCCGACTTCACCCCCACCTTCGACCTCACCGTCCGCTTCCCGGGCGAGTCCCAAACCGCCATATCCAACGGCACGCTCGTGCGCGTCAGCCAAGTCAGCCAGGCCCCCACCATCTCAATCTCCGCGAACACGGCGGCGTCGCCGTCAGCAGCATCACCGGACGCGCCGAAACCGACCCGCCTCACGCTCCTCCTCATCGACCCGGACGCGCCCACGCCCGACGACCCCAAGTTCGCCTACTGGCGGCACTGGGTCGTGACGGGCATCCCCGCGCCGTCGACAGAAGTGGCTGCTGCTGCCAGCGAGGGGCGCACGCTGACGGCGTACCTCGCGCCGGGCCCCAAGGACGAGTCCGGGCCGCACCGCTACCTGTTCCTGCTGTTTGCCGAGCCGGAGGGGTTGGAACTGCGGGCGGGGGACGTGGGCGGGGAGGCGTTTGTGGAGAGGCGGAGTTTTGGGGTGGAGGAGTTCGTGGGGAGGCATGGGCTGCGGCTGGTTGGGGTGCAGTGGATGAGGGGGGTTGGGGATGGGTGGGTGGGGGAGGAGTAGGGTTGGGTGGTTGGTGAGGGTAGGGTAGGTTGGGGGAAGTTAGGTACCTACATGTAGGGAAAGCATTGATGGATTGTTGTTTCGATTGGGTTGTGGAGTGGTAGTGCTGGCTGTCGATAGAGATTGAGCCACGTGGGTGTGAAACCTGGCGGGAGAATACCGAGATGCGTTCAATTGCCGGCACGGATAGAGGTGCGGGCCAGGGAATATCAGAACGATCCATGATGTCAATTCAATCCTGCTCTCCCATTTTTCGACTCGCGCCTGTCAACATTCGGCCCCACACAATAAGTGGCCCTTCTCATGCCCGATGATGTGTAGGTAGCCTCATCTCATCGATTACATACTTGGTATGATTCACACATGTTGTCTGAGATCCCAGCCTGCGAACGTGATCCTCTTGCATGGGACACACTAACCGGAATAGTCCCTGGCCTTGCCGTCATCGAATGGGGGCACACCAACACTGCACCGCCCTGTGTCCGCCGAAAGACGACTGGTTACGCACAACAGGATACGAGCACCGTCGACTGCCTCTTCCGGCAACTGGGGTTGGGATTTGCGCAAAAGTCCTTGAGGAACGGCTGATCCGTGACACCGGACCGTTCGATTGCATGAAACGGGAAGGTGCCGAGCCTTAAGGTCGACATTGTATGGCCGGATCAACGAATCGGGTAGCACCAGTTCGTCGGCTGTCGAACCATGACGTATCCGCATCCTGAATCGAGTTCATCCAACCTCAGTCATGAACTGTGCCGTGGCTTTTATCAAGGCTCAGCCCCGTGTTCATGTTCCTCCAATGTCAGCATCGAGGACGCATCTAGGACGCATCTAAAGACTAGCAACCGACATTAAACAAATCGCGGCCTTCGTCTCCAACCTTTCTGTGTCATGTCAATTGATCCCCCCTCCAACACCGGACACCAAACGAAAATCGTCAAGTAACACCGGCAACCACCAAGATGCACTACCTTTCGAAGTCTCTCGCAGCCTGCGTGGCCTTGTAAGCCAACCGACTGAGAATATCGGCTCTCCACTCTCCATTGCAAAGGCTGACAATCATCCCCAGAGCGGGCTCTGCCCTTTCCCAGTCCGGTGGCATCGGCTCGGTCTCGATCGAGTCGGTCTCGGGCTGCGCCGCCGTGGTGTCGACCACCCACATCTGCAGTACCTGCGTGACGATGGCTTGCGTGGTCCCGGCTACCGTCACCGCCGGCTGCGACGGCTGCGGGGAGACACCGCCGACCATCTACCGCTCGTTCCCGTGCGACGAGGGATGCGACAACATCGGGTGCCAAACGATTTACAGCGTCGCGACGGCGACCGACAATGAATGTGAGTTGATCATGGCCCGGCTCTCTGGCTTGCAGCTGGTGGGGTCTGTTTTCGGTTTTAGACACTGATGTTGACGATGACGCAACAGGCGCGACAGGCGGCGCGGGCCCCACGCCGACTCCGACTCAAGACCCGGGTGCCTCCACAACTGGCGGTAATGAGCCAACTACTTCGGCCAGTACTGCCGGCGCCGCACGCGTGATGCCGTTCCGTCTGTGGTAGATGGCGACGATGGAATGGATCATCGTGATGATGAACGAAGGCAGGGGAATTCAAAGGATCGGGGGATGGCGGTTGGTTGACTTCGGTTCGGTGGGTCAGCGCGCATGTGGGCCTCAGGCGTCGTCGGTTGGGCTGTGCGGCCTGTGCCTCATCTGGGGAAAAAATGACAGATCGTTCCGACAATAAATTCGATAATTAGGTGGTTTCATTTCCCCAATTGACCCCCTACTTGTGATGCATCTCTTCTAAGGGAAACTATAAACATCTCTATACTCTGTCCCCATACAGATTATATTTTGGCTTCTCCTATCTCCATGTTTTGGGTGTCCTGCGGAGGATGGACAGTGGTACCCTGCCTTATCACGCAGGAGAGTGCTGACCACGTCAGAGTGACTGCCTGGGGCACGTTTTCAGACGGTTGGAACCTGACGCCGCAGCACCCGAGCAACTCGCAATCTTCATGACTCCGACGCAGCCCGAAGACCGGCAACGTCTTCTTTTCGCGGCTGCATCGCCATCACCATTACCCGGATACTGTGCATCCGGCAGAGCCGCAGATTTGAGGGTTTTTACACGCTCATTTCATTCCATGGGTTGACGATATTCAATAGTCAATCGTCACTGCGCATTCCTTACTTCGTACTTACGTTCCAAAATGTTGTCCGCTCCTCCCTTGTTCCTAGAAGCTGTCGTCGTGTCATTACGCGCTCGGCATCTTTGACGCAGATACGACGACACAGACCCTTTCTGCAAAGAAATACAGGCAGGACCTGATTCCCAACGATTGGTTGCATATATTATCGATAGCACGCACTTCCGACTCGAAGCTTGAGCCGTGTGGACGGTCAGAGCGCGCCTCCGATTTAAGTCGGACCTCGTGGGCAGCACACGAGTCTCGAAGCAATCCCAGAAATCAATCGGCCACGAAAATGGTGTTCTTCTTCTCCCTCGTCGCCGTGCTTGCCTTCGCGGCCGTGACGGTTGCGTTCGGCACCATTAACGACCCAATCGTGCTCAAACAACACAACGAGCATGAGATGATCACCCGCTTGGCCTTCCAGTGCCCCAGCGACCAGAAATCCGACGGCAACTGCTTCGAGCCCCGCTCGCTCGACCAACTCGCCGGCTACCACAACAACGTCCTTGGGATTGCCCTCACTGGCACGGGTACCAATGGCGCTGTTGGTGCCCCAGACACCTTCGATCCCTTGCCCGAGGGTCCCGAAGCTCACTGTGACGACGCCGACTTCCTCGACGTCCCTGGGTATCCCCGGACCCGGGATGAGGCCAACAGCAAGCTCCAGGCCTGTGTCGACCATCTCCGGCACCGCTTCCGCCAGGCCGTAGGCGCAGCTAAGCGTATGCTGGACGATCGGAACAGGGTGCGTCGGGACATGGTGCAGCTGTATGGCGGAGACTGCACTTTTGCGTTTCCGGGGTGGCAGAGTGATGATTTTGGTCGAGCCAAGTGCAGCGCGCTGGAAGGGTTTGGGCGAGCATTGCACGGCATCCAAGATTTCTACGCCCATAGCAACTGGGCCGACGATGCCGACCCAACACAGCCTATCAGCGTGGCCAACCCACCGGGACTGGGAATGGACGGCACCGCTTCATTCCTTGACTTGCGCGCCAACGGCACCATTCCGCCGGACGAAATCCCTCGCAATCTCACAACCGGCTGCTTCAACTTGCCCGACATCACCTACGGCGTAGGAGTGTGCCAAGGACGCGTCACCCACGGCGCCCTCAGCAAAGACAAGGGCGTAATCCACCTTGATGGCACTTTTGGTCTCGTTGAGCTGGATCCCCGGTCTCAAGCGGTCTCAACCAACTTTAAGCTCGCTGTACGGGCTGCCGTTCAACACTCGCGCGAGGTGTGGGCCAGCCTCCGGGACGAAATCCGGCTTCAGTACGGCACCGTCAGCGGAGACCTCATGATTTGCTCCCTCATCCGTGACAATCCGGTCAAGGACTGCCGTAATCGCACTATGGCCGTGGCCCTCGACAACTCGTTGGCGAGCGAAGCCAACGGCGGCATCGAGATGGAGAAGTTACTCGCCGAGGAGGTAAACTCTAGGTTGAACACCGAGGGTCTGGACAAGATTGCTGTTATCGAAAACAAAGAACCGGCCATTCTTCGATATCCTATGGGCTCACCAATAAATGTGAGCTTTGACCTGTCTCCGCCGTCGGGCCAAGTTTGCATGGCCAGCGGCCTTGAACTGGGTATCGCGAAAACTATCCACGCCCAGCCCGAAACATACGCCGACCGAGGGGCTATCGTCCTTCTCACTACTAGTGCTGAGGACCCGGAATCCATCGACAGCACACTAGACCAACTCCGGCGCGCCGCAGAAGAGGGCATACGCGTTCACTATGCGTGCATCGACATGCACACAAACACCGCCGAGGTCATTCCAGACAAGGCTAAATGGGCCGGGTGCACTCCTGGCGACTCTCTAGTGTCGCCTGTGCTCAAGACCGGTGGGATCGTCGCCTTCGTCGACGGCCCCGCAGCTCGGGCACCCGCGCATTTCGCCAACCTCGTCATGGACAACGGCCTCACAGCTACCGACGAAGACGAAAACACCCCCCGAACACATCCGCATCTACCCCGGCATAGCCCTCGCCGGCTTCCTCAGCCCCGACCGACCTACCAAATCCTTCACCTACCCTCTCTCAGCGGGCGAGAATCTTGAATTTACTGTCAGCAGCGTTGCCGCAAACGGGCAAGGCGCAGAAGCCTGCTTCGGCGTAACGCTGTGGCAAAATTACCCCGACAAGGAGATCGCCACACACAAGAGATGTGGCGACTCCTCCCCCCTGTTGCTGCGCTACGAAGCGAAGGAGCCCTTTGACTTGGTCCTCGAGGCCGAGTACGGGGACACGGCGCCCATGGACGAGCTGCTCCGCCGCGAGGGGATCCTGTTTGTCCTTGCCGTCGACACCAATATGCCAGAGAAGGATGAGACGACCATCAGAACGACGACCAGCATCGTGAGCTCGAGCGCCACTGTCGGTACGGAGGCGTTTTTGTCGAGTGAGACGCTGGAAGTCCTGTCCGGCACCGCGACGGTCGATAGCAGCACTTCGACGTGGACCGAGTCTTTCCGGGTTACCGATGACGGGGCCTTCTCGTTTGTTCGGCTGGGGATCGAACAATACCCCATGTGCAGCGTGCCGACTATCACGGCTACAGCAATGGTCAGCAATTTGACCGCGGGTGGTGACGAGGACGCAGCGTGATGTCGCACGTGAATATCGGGTCTTGGACCTGTAATGTTGAAAAGAATTTATGGAATGATGATGATACCACGCTTATTCATGTACATAGCGGCTTGTTATAGACTAAATCGAACATCTTGGATGTGCCCATTTCTATCGATACTGCTTTCGCATTCTTTTCATGAGGATCTATCTATCACCGCACAGACAGAAGTCAATGTTCGGGGCAAAAAGTGGCTTCGTGTTTCCGCTGCCAAACTCGAAACAACAGCGACCCCTGACTATTCCAGTTCTACGCCCGTTCTATGCCCGTTCTCCCCTTGCGTTGGGCCCGTCTGCCAGGTGAGGAGAGGCGATCCCGAGAACCCGGTGGTGACCCCGGACTGTAGTGAGGCTGGATCGAGGGTAACTCTTTCAATGCCGACTTTTCCGGCATGCGACCCCGCTTCACCAGCAAAGCTTTTTGGGGATTTCGGACGTTTTTTTGAGCATACTAAGTGGATTCGTGCTCACGGGCTCCAAGCCAAAACTGAGCTGAAACGATGGGGTTGTTCGGGGATGATAGGAACGACGGATTTACGGCATCTGCCTCTTTTGCGAGTTGATGTAGATTTCTTCTCGAAACTCAGTGGTGATTCCATCTAGATTGTCTTGGGTGTTTCGTTTGTTGCGTTGGGCATCGGAATGTCCTCGGCAGACCCTTCGTGCATTGAATTGCTGAACTGGGATCCCCGGGTTTCAAGTCCCTGGCCAACTTCATGTTTCTTGGACTCAGATGGTTCGGATAGTCGGGCGTTGATATTATACCCTAACATTGAAACTCGATTGTCCATTCCTTTTGCCATGAACATCTAACTAGATCGTTTTGATATGATGGTTAAAAAGGGCTTGTCGTTGCGAGCCTTGGACGTGTAACGCAGCCATAACCGTGGAATTCCGAACACGGCCATCTAATGTTGCTTGCCCGGAGGCCCTGCATCGGCGACGTCTACTGTGGAGGTCGCGATATTCGCCGATGTTTTAGCTCAATGACAAAATGCCCCCGTTTCGATATCCCGGGGCCATCACTAAAGCCGGCAGATTCCCTTTTGTTTTAGAAAATCCGATCTCCAAAACAACAACCACTCGGGGAGATCGCTGTCGAGGGGTTGTTTGCCTCATAAACAGAGGCTGAGCTTTTTTCTCTCCCAGTTTATTGGTCTTGTAGCTTTGACCGTCACCTGAAACGACGGACAGCTGAAGCCCCAAGCTACGAGTTCCGGGGTGAGTCAGGGGCTCATACCCGAACCACTGCAGCCAAGACTGTCGTGAGGTTACATTGATCGCCCGGCCAGAAACACCCACAGATCTCGCCGGCAAGACGGCAGATCGACCATGAGATGCGATTGGACCCCTGTTTCTCTCTTGATAGTTTAGCGCTCAACAACTGTGTCGTTTTGTCTTGTGTCATGATGCTGCGCCTCGTGTTTCTTGCCCAGAGAGGCCAACCCGGATTCGGGTCGGGCTTGCGATATCGACGAAAGAGGCGGTTGAGGAGGCCTCGAGTGTGAAGAAGATGGGAAAGTCGGCAAGTTAAACACAGGTATAAAGACATCGAGTTGTGACCTTGAATGAACGAGAAGAATATTCAGCAAGCAGAGCTTCCTCGACTCATCAGCCCCTTTCAGTTCACCACCACCGGTCTTCTACTTCGCTCTAGCCCTGGCGGCATTCTGCTTATAATCTTCAACTTTCAGCACTCTCAACCCTGAACACAAACCCAACTACCCACCTACCTAGCCACCATGCATCCCTACGAGATCCTCCTCCTCACCCTCCTCGCCACGCCCACCACCGCCCATGGCGTAGTCACCCTCGTCCGCGGCGCCAACGGCGTCGAAATGCCGGGTCTATCCAGTATGTCCACATCACCCATCCTTTCACCCCCCCCTGGCAACCCATCCCAACCCATCCCATCCCAACCCATCCGAACCCCCCCCCCCCCCCCCCAAAAAACTCACCACCCACTAACCACCACCCACCCCGCAGTCGCCGACGGCACCCCGCGCGACTGCTCCACCAACCGGTGCGGCTCCCAGGCCGACACGGCCATCATCCGGGACCGCGAGATGCGCTCGGGCGAGGTCGGCCCGCTCGGCCGCACCCAGGGCAACGGCCCCATCGACGCCGCCACCATGGTCGCCGCCTTCATGGGCAGCGGCGCCGCGCCCCAGCAGGTCAATGCGGCGAATGCTTCTGTCGGGGTGGAGGATGATCTTGGTGGGTTGGGCCGTGGCGGAAACAGGGGGGGTAGGAATGATAAGAGGGATGGTGGGGCGTGGGTGGTGGCGAGGCAGTTTTTGAAGGGGTTGTTTGGCGGTGGTGGTGGTGGTGGTAACCGGGGGACGGATAGTGCGGTGGCGACGGAGAGTAATGTGGCTGCTATGGCCGGGCAGGGGGCGACGTCGGGCATGCCGACCTGTGCGGATGATGGGACGATCGAGATGGTCTTTCATCAGGTGAGTTTTATTCTTGGTGTGTTGAGGGGTGCGGGAGTGCAGGTGGCTGACAGAACGGGTGGCAGATCAACCAGGACGGGGCCGGTCCCCTCGACGCCGCCATCGATGGCACCTCCGGCGGCACCGACCCGGATGCGTTCCAGCGCGCCCAGGTGACGCAGGACGTCCCGGGCCTCGGGTTCCAGGGGCTGAGCCTGGCGACTAGCAAGGACTTTCCTCTTACCGTCCAGATGCCTCAGGGCATGACTTGCGATGCCACGGTTGCCGGCGTGGACAACGTCTGCGTCGTGCGCGTTCGCAACGGGGCGGCGGCTGGGCCGTTCGGTGGCAGTGCTGCCTTCACCATGAGCGCGGGTGCTCGGAAGCGGGCCGTGGCTTACCGCCTCAAGAAGAGGGCTCAGACCTTCAACGCTTAAGCGGTCAGCTGGTATACAAGAGTCGTTGGGATTACGAGAAATGAGGGACGTGGCACATAGAAGGTGACGGTCGGTATCATGAGGCTTTAGATATGTTTGGCAGGCGTGTTGTACAATAGATTTCGCGGATTCTGTTACAATTTGATTCGCAGTACTTCAGTGTTCGAGATATGAAGCTCCCTAGTTACCAGTTGAAGAGTTCAATCGCAGACTGGTTTTCTCTGTTCTGGTTAGTAACATCACCGCCGCACTTCTGTCAGCTAAATGAGCTGAGAAAATCCGAATTAGATTCAGGCGTAACACTTCCGACGCCGCACATTCCACTATCCAAAGGGTATCCCAACCAAAACGGCATCATAAAACTCATATCCACATCATACGCTCTTGAAAACCCTATTCCACCATTTCGTACCCGCTTGCTGTCCCGGTTCTGGCTGCTTCGCCTCATCCAAATCCCTCCGCCTCCCGGACTGCAGATCAATTTCATGCGCCTTCCACAGCTTTGTCTTGAATATCAGCTTGTACACGATATAAATGACGCCGAAAAGCGGCAGCAAAATGTACGCATCGACAAACGACCCGGCGTTGAACGGCGCAAATGTCGCCCACCCCTGGATCAGGGCTAAGAACAAGTTGGCCGAGAGCCCAAAGTAGGCGTTGTAGGGATACCACAGCGACACGAACGGCAGCTCGCTCTCAGTGTGGCCCTGTGCCTTCCACGCGGCGCGGAAGCGGATATGAGTGAAGCTGATAGCACCCCAGACGAGGAATGTCGAGACGCCGCTGAGGTTGACGATGTAGCTGTAGGCTTGGCTGGCGCCGGTGCTGACGTTCATCATGCTGAGGGCGCCGCAGAGGTTGGTGAAGACGATGGCCGGGATGGGCACGCCGCGCTTGTCGGTCCAGCCCAGGAACTTGGGCGCCTTGCCGTCCTGCGCCATGAACAGGAGCGTGCGGCTGCCGATGTAGATGGAGCTGTTGACGGCGCTTACGCAGGTGACAAAGATGAAGGCGTTGATGAGGTGGACACCGCCCTCCCAGCCAGCGTTTTGAAGGGCTATCGTCATTGGACTGCGCAGGGCACGGCTGCTGCCACCGATTAGGTCGGGGGCGTTCGCGGGGCAAGTCAAGCCGAAGAAGAAGGCGCTGCCCATGTAGACGACGACGATGCGGATGAAGACTTGACGAATGGCGAGAGGCACGGCGTAGCCGGGGTTCCTGGTTTCGGTGGCTGCCACCGCGACGGATTCAACGCCGGCATAGAATGTGCTGCAGAAAACAAAGACGGAGGCGACGCCCTTGAAGCCGTCGGCGAAAGCACCTGGGTCGTTCCAGTACCGAAAGCCGATGGCGTCAGCCCCTTTTACGCCGCCGGATGCGTAGCTGTCTGCTGTCAGAGGGATCCAGGGGTTCGAACGGGGGGGCAAACTAACATGATGCTGAAGAGGAAGTAGGCGATCAGGCCGATAATTTTAATCAATGCCAACCAGAACTCGGCCTCTCCAAACGTTTCCACGCCCAGCAGTTGGAAACCCAGAAACGCGAACTGTCACCGTGTTAGCTCGCCCCCGTGGCAATTGAGCCCCTCCCACATCTAAGGGCAACGACTCACCCAGAAGAGAAGAAAATACCCCCAGATAGGCACTTTGTCGCTCCAGAAAACCATGATGCTCGAAATGACATTGTACTCGTTCGCTAACACGCAAAACCACACAATGTAATAGTTCCACCCGACGGCCACGCCAAAAGCCTTATCCACAAAGCGATCACTCAGTGCGGTGAACGCGCCACCGGTCGGATACAGCGTCGTCAGCTCGCCGAGACTCTGCATGATGGAGAAGGCGATAACGCCAATGACAGCAAAGCCAATCAACAGGGAAGCGGGCCCGCCGGCGGAGAGGGCGCCACCGGCACCGATGAGCAGGCCGGGGCCGATGATGCCGGCCAGGGCCATCATGGAGAGGTGGCGGGTCTTGAGGCCGCGCTTGACACCGCTGTTCGGGTCGATGGCGCGGAAGTCGTCCGAGTCGGAGCCTGTGGCGGCCTCGGTGGTGGTGTCGCGGTCATGGTTGCGGATGGAGACGTCGTCGTCCTTGGTCGGATTCGGCTTGAGTTTTCCAAGCATCATGTGTTTTTGCCAGGACCAGCGACAACACCAAAAGTTGAACACGAACGATACCGGAATCCGCGGCGGTCAAAGGAGTGTTATGTGGGGGTCGACTGGCCGGTTCTGGCAAGAAACGGTGTCGATCAGGGACCGGAAAGGTGGGAGGAGGGTGGGAGGAAGGAGCAGAAGAAACTGCAACACCACTCCCGACAATGGGGGCAACCGGATTGTTTAAGGTTCTGCGAAAGAGTTGGCACAAGCCAGGGATATACCGGTTCGTGATCCTGCTGCAACACTGCCGAGGGGCCTCACCTGCACGCATCCTGGTGGTATCCCGGTGGCATCCCCAGCGAGTGCCCGTGGTTCCGGGAGGAGACTCGACTCTATCGGGACAAGCACTTGCCATTTTTCAGCAAAGCGCGAAGACAGGGATTGCCGCGTGGGGTTGAGACACGAAAAGACGGTTTCGATGGTTTAACAGCTTTGCGGGGAAACGCTGCAGTCAGGCTGTTAGCAAGGACATGGAATGTTTCTTGCATCAAGGCCGCCATGAATCGCGCAATCCACCACTGAAAGCCCGACTGCAGGCGTTGCAGGGAGTTGTTGCCTGCTATTTGGTGTGATTGGTTAACGGAAAGAACATCCCACGCGACACCCCACGCAAGCGAAAACGTGAATGCTCACTGGACCGTGACATCATCAGGTCCGCCAAGCTCGGAGTTTGAGCAGGGACTAGCCTGGCACATCGTCGGAGGCACAATGCCGGCCGGCGGGGAAAGCCAGTGCTCGTATAAAGTGAACATTTATCATACAACAACGGGAGTATTAAAACCGGGTTTGAGCACCTCGACGAGGTTTACGGCTACCCATATTTTAACGAACATCTCCCTGACCGCTATCTCACTCCAACTTCTTCGTGGTCATAATCACATGGGTGAAGAAAAGGGTCATGAGAAATTTCGTAAGATATTTGGTTGCCAAAAGGTTTTTATACAACTCAAACTGGAAATTTCCGGATATCAAGGTAGAGAGGTTGAGTAGAAATTGTAGACGATTGGGAGATTGGAAGACTGGATACTGGAGGTCCATGTTCATTCATCTCCGGGTTAACTTGAAATCAGCCCGACGGAGCGCAACCGAGGAATTGTTAACAGGCGCCTGGCCCCTCAATTCGTGTCAACTTACCCCAGGTAGGTAGGTATAGACCACGTCGGCTGATAATCTTCTTAGGGCGTTTGCTGGTGTTTCTAAAAGCTACCTTTTTTTCTTTTTTTCTTTTCCTTTTTTCCTTTTTGACCTTTTCTTTAAAAAGGGAAAAGAAAGAAAGAAAGAAAACCGTTGTTTCTCTTTCGTTTCGTTCAGCTTCAATGCCAGGTACCACCGTTAGCCCTTGGTATACCAGTACCATCGCGCGGGCATAAATGAGCACTCAGCGCCATAAAAACATCAAATTGGTGGCCTTCACATATATTCCCTTGAGAAATATCAACAGATCGAGTGATATGACGCGTTAATACAGGAGCGGGCGAATGAAGTCAGGTTCTTTCGAGTAGGAAATGACATCATACACGCAACAGGCGTCCACACATAAAACAAGCCGCTTTTGACCAACAGTAACATATCAACTTTCATCCATGCGATAACAAGTTCCAAGCTTGTTATATGTCCCATTTGCCGGCACCATGAAACCCTCATTTGATGTCCTCGACAAGGAAGAGAGGCAGTCACAGCAGGTAGCCAGACAAAGGGGCTTTCTTCCAAGGCTTCGAGCTGTGGTCGTCTTGCTGGCTGTGGTCTATGCAGTCTACTGCTACCTCTTCTCAAAGCCTCTTCTTGCCCATCCCCTGCCGAAACACACGGGGCCGTATGCCGTTGGAACTATTGACATCGAAGCCCCAGTCTCACCCCCGCGGTCCATCCATGAAGCTCGGTTCAAGGGAACGAATGAGAAGGCATTCGAACTAGAGACTGTGTTATTCTCGCTGTACTACCCTACCGACCATGATACCGCTGTGGCAGCGTCTGGTCAAACAAAGCGCCATACGTGGGTTCCGCAACCCTTATCCCTTCGAGCTCAGGGGTATGCCAGAGCAGCCCATATCAGCAACTGGTTTACGGATAAGCTCTTCACCACTGCCATCGATGCATTGGTCGGCGGTATCACCATCCCGGCTGCCGTTGATGCACCCCTGAGTGATTATGCCACGCCGTCGTCCCAAGAGAAACGCACAAACAAGGAAAAGCAACCACATACCCAACCAAGCGAGGACGGCCCGGTCGGGGGTTACCCCGTCATCATCTTCTCGCACGGCACCGTATCCGCCAGGACCGATTATTCCCACTTCGCCGGCGAGCTCGCAGCACGCGGCCACATCGTCGCCATGCTCGAGCACCGCGACGGCTCCTCCCCAGGCACCATCATCCAACAGCCCAACCAACCCAACCGCACCCGCCTCCTCTTCGACGTCTCGGCAGTCGAAACCCCCGACCACAGCCTCTCCCTCACCGAAGCCGAATTCCACCACGCCCAGCTCTCCTTCCGCGAAGCCGAAATCGAAGCAGCCGTCCACATCCTCAAAGCCATCAACGCCGGGCACGGCAGCCAAATCGCCTCCCAAAACCCCCACCACCACGAAGGCCGCCACACCCTGCCCCACTGGACCGGCCGCCTCAACACGCACGCCATGACCGTCGCGGGCCACAGCTACGGTGCTACCGGCGCACTACAGGCCTTGCGCGGCGGGCCGACGCAGGCCCGCCCCTTCCGCGCCGCCGTCGCGCTCGACCCGGGCAAGCAGAGCGGCCCGCTCAATGAGGACGTGCGCGTGCCGCTGCTCGTCGTGCACAGCAATTCGTGGAGTAGTAAGAGGAGTGTCTTTTATGGGGGGCGTGCGCATTTTGATGTGGTGAAAGGGATTGTGGAGGGGAATAATAAGCGGGGGAACCCGAGTTGGTTTATGACGTCCATTGGGACCTCGCATCCGTCGGTGACGGACGCGCCGTTGTTGGAGCCGTGGTTGTTGAGCTTTACGACGGGGGCGACGATTGATGTGTATGAGGGCTTGAGGCAGTATGTGCATGTGGTGGAGGACTTTTTGGCGTTTCTGGCGGGTGGGGAGGTGCGTGGGTTGATGGCGGAGAAGGCCGAGTTTCCGCAGTATGATGAGGGTGCGGTGTTGGGGATGGGCAAGCCGGGGCAGGGCGGGAGGGATGGGATGGTGGAGGATTTGAAGAAGGGCGAGTGGGCGGACTGGAGGCGGTACTGGCAGATTCATGTTTCGCCGGCTGGGAATGTATAAAGGGGGTTGGATGGGGTAGGTAGGCTCGAAGGGAAAGGTGATATGTACGACTAGGCAGGCATTGTGATTTAACTATGTAAAACAATAGCACTGTGCTCCCATTGCTATGCTCTACCTCATCAAGTAGGTAGGTATCTCAGGACCTACGACAGATAGCTGGTGTCCACCCAGTCCTCGTAATCGCTCCCCAGCACGGTTGAGATACTGACGGCAGCCGATAGCTTCTTTGCAAAGCTCGCCCTCGTTCCCTTTGAGCCGTCACCGGTGTTCCCATACTCCCCAAACTCAACCCCGTCCGTCCTCGGGTCGCCGTCATTCCAGATCCTCCACCCAGCCCCATTGATCACCGCCGACAGACTAGTGTCCTGAACCACCACCCGAGCATAGTTACGCCACGGCCGACCGAGGAAATACGCACCCGCCGACACACTATCCCCTGCCTTGGCTGCGATAGCCGACTTGTTGATCACATAGTATGACGAGCTCGAAGCCGAGTCGCGGCCGCTGGCGGTGACGTAACCGGTGGACGCCGCGAGCACGCGAATATCCGCGCCATCGAACCAGGCGCTGGCACGCTGACCAAAGATAAAATCGGTGGCGCCCTCGATGTAGCTGCGGGCGTAGACCTGGGCGCCCTCGTTGGCCAGCACGGTGTCCTGGAAGCCGCGGAACTGGCAGGCGTAGTAGCCCTGGCGGTCGTTCTGCGCGCTCACGGCCACCGCCTGCGAGCCCTTGCCGCGCGTGTTGACCAGGTTGACGTTGTACACGCGCAGGTTGCCCGCGTGCGCCCGCAGCGTCGCCGTCGCGTCGTTGTTGGGCGAGTCGTCCTGGCTCCGGCTCTGCGTGATGGTCACCGTGTTGGCGGCGAAGCTGCTGGTGTCGGGCGTCTCGCCGTAGACGGTGAGCGCCGACTTGAGCTCCGGGATGTAGACTTGCTCCTCGTAGGTGCCCTTGTAGATGAAGATGCACTGCGCCGTGCTGGTGGACGTGCTGAGGGCGTCGACGGCGGACTGGACCGTTTTGTAGGTCGCGGAGCCTCCGACGGCCAGGCACCCTTCCGGTGGCGACGTGCGACCGGCGCGGGCGTCGAGTGCCGCCGCCGCTGCGCCGGTTGTGAGCGAGAGCCCCAGAGCAATGGAGGGAAGCATGTTGGCGATGAGAGAAGACACCTGGGAAAGCGATAACCGGGGAACAGAAGATGGTTCATTTATCCGCCCTTTAAATAGTTTGGACCAGGGCACCTTACATGGTACCATAATATCGTCGATCCTACCACGGGATCCATTCGCGTACCCGTGTAAATTGGGGCTTCATCCGCACCACTGGGTGTCGTTTGTTTTCCACCAACAATCGTGTAACGGCGGAATATCTGGATCTGAGCCGCATGCCAACAGAAACCGCCAGACCCTCGGAGGTTTCTCCTGCGAGGAGGAGAGTTGTCGAGGCTGACATCGCTGGTTGGTGGAATTCACATTTTGTCGGTGCCAGGGTCACATCGTGGGAGGGGATGCCGGGTATCCTGTCCGCCGGCGGAGCGGATGAGCAACGATCTCTGCTTCTTTTGTCTTCGCTCCTGTTTCGCTGTTCAAGGGCGTTGGCTGGGGTTGCTGGGAATTTACTTGTTTTTGGACGGGGTGCCTGAATCACAGTTGGGATCTGTTAATGTTCTCTCGGAAGATAGATACCGAGCTCTGGGCTTGGACGAGGGAGGGAAGGCCTTCAATACAAGATATACTAATATAACTCCGGCGAGGCGAAAACGACGTCTTACACGTGTAGTGAGAGGCTATCAAGCCAAAACAAAAAAGGGAACAGAGTTGCGAACTTACATTCTCTTATTTGCCGACGGTGGATCGGCCCAGGTTGCAGCGGGCTGTGGAAGCTAGCTCCGTGAATAGTTTAGAAGATATAGATTCTAGTGATAGCGATAGTTGTCTTGTAGTGGCCGAAAGATACCTAGTAGATAATAACGACATTGAATTGTGCATTAACAATACCCCCTCTCGCAACGCAACATATTAAAGAATTGCTGTCTAAAAGGTTAGAATATTCCTTGCCCTGTAGACTTTGACCTTTCTCATGGACTTTGGCTCACTCTTACAAGAATAGCTCGGGCTGCGTCGTGAGCGTGGCGTAGGACCAATTAAAATGTTTCATTCCACAAATCCTCCCACAGGTTGGTCTTATTTTTTATTTTGCGGCGTGTGAACCGTTCCGACAGGTCTCCCATCGGCAGCCAGTTCCCGTTTTGGCACCTCTGGCACATCTGTGCCAATCGCTCGGTGTTCCCTTCACCGTGGTTCCACGACAATCCTGCAGTCATATCGCTGGAGCTGACCGGTTGGATATGAGAGGGCTTCCAACTTTTCTATACATGATTGTTGTTGTTAGTGACACTTGGCAGTCCTACGGCTGTGCTTGTCGATTTCGTGATTTCCGAACCAAGTGAACCATCCACCGGGTTTCGAGTGACAGGATGCTTCCAGTTGTCTGCCGCACATGCTCTGGGTTGAGTCAAATCCTGCGAAGCTTCAATTTACCTACCTAGGTATGAAAGTAGGTATATGCTACTCCGTGCTAGTATCTGACGCTTTCTGTCTTGAGCTCTGAGTTATGATATTCCAAGGGCGATTGTCTCGGTGGAAGCTTTCCCACACACCTTGCGCCATATTCGTATATTTCGGCTCATTCATCCCCCCCCGCCCTCGCTGCGTGCGCTCCTGTTATTCTACCGCCACGTTCATCTTTGAGTGGGCATCAGGCATTGAGCAGCAATATCTCTCACCGGGAGACGCAAACCAACCGCGTAACTGGCGTGCAGCGAAGACGAGACGCGGACACAATATTCAGCCCCCAATCCCCCCTACTGCGGAATGAGGAGACGAGGCGCCGCGGATAAGCATTTGGGGGCGAAAGGGAACCAAACACGTCATTCGGCCACGCGCACCTCTTCCTCGGAGTTGTGGTCCAAAATATCTCTCTCGTGTCCGACAAGGCTTCTTCATCACTCCCGAACTCAGCTCAACCACCACAGCCAAACATCCGGTTTTTAATCATCACCATCTTCGACATGCGTTTCACTTCGAGCATCATCGCTGCCGCCCTCTCCCTCGCGGGCGGCACCAACGCCTGGAGGCAGGACCCCAACGGCATCTGGGTTGCCAGCAAGGAGCTCTACCGCGTTGGCAACGGCGAGTCACCCCAGACGAAATAGTGGCCTCGAACTAATGCATCACATCTTCTACAGCTTGGGTCCACGAATCCTGCACTCAGATGAACACGTCTGTCATCAAGACGTCAGGCGAGTGCGCTTACTACCACACCAACCGTTCCCGCCATATGTTCAAGGGCAGTACGTATTGTCGATTTCTCTGCCACTAGACCGGCGGTATTTCGGTGCGCTAACTAGGACGCTTCAGACTGTACCGTGTACCTGGGCGACGTTTACTGTCTTTGAGACGGAGAGGGGGGGCACGGGAATTGTGTTGTGGGTCAATTGGCGGTTTGATCCATTTCTTCATGTGTCGAGGAATCACCCCAGAGGCGCCGCCGGATCGGGGTCGTGGATGTTCTTCCTTCCTGCTTCTGGTGCAGAAACATGAGGCAGGGGGATAGCACATTTATAAGAGATGAAAGTCAGGCTACCGTGAGTAAGGTAGGTATTCTATCCGGTCAGCATATATAGCCCGTACCTAGGTACCAAGTATGTGATCAGTTTTCGGCTGCTGGGAATGTCCGGGACACTACCCCTGAATATTTCAGCGCCAAGGCATGATGCTCATCTGGGAAGTATGATTACCTAGGTAGCATCACATTCGGCATGAAAACCGATCGTGGTTTGTTGCTTCGTTTGCATGTGACTTCCCACAGCTTCTTTGGGACTGCTGGCCGTCTCCTCATGAGTAAAAGCTGCCAGGGGCGCGGTGAGCCCAGAACTCACGGATGCGGAACCTCAGCAGTCCTCCACTGTGGACGGCAGAAGTCCCTCGCAGCAGTAGTAATTGTAAATGGCGCACTTGAAGTCGAAATCGGGGAAAGATGTGATCAGTTGCAGCATCGGACGAACCAGTTTAAGGTTGCTAATGGAGCGGGGCGATATGGTCCGCTTGGCACGGTATGAATAAGGAAGGCCCAAGATGCGATCTGGACTAAAAGGGGGTGAAAGTGAAGTCTGTCGTGGTATCGATCGAAGTTCTCAAACGCGTCGGGGCAGCTGGTCGGGCCGATAAAAGGGGACCTGGTGACTAAGGTTGCAGTGATTGCTACCAGAAGGTTTAGACTAGATGGAAGCTCCGTGGCATTTGACAGAAGGGTCTGCACCTGTCAGGCACCCGCTTTCCCCTTCAGAAACTGCCAGATGATACTCACACGTGGGGCAAAAAGCAAGTGGGGTGAAAAGGCTGATCCGGGGTTGGCCCGCCCGGATCTCCCTCCTGGATCGCGCTTGCCGACGGGAGTTGACGAATTGAAAGTTCCGTTTCATCGAAGAAGGGGCAAGTGGCGCATGTGGCCCCTGAACCATCTGTCGGTCCACCAATAACGTCCCTGGGTCCTTCCGCATCAACCTGTCCTCGAGACACGCCTTCCTTCTTGTTTGAACGGGCACATCTGGAACCTGACAGATTTATCAGGCCGGGAGCCCCACACAAGACCTCTCCCACGAGCCCGAAGAAAAAAAAAGTCACAGGCAAGACCAAACGGACCTCACAACACCATCGTGCACGCGCGCCACGGCATGACCAAGACCGAAAGCAGGTGCTCAAGATGGAGACAACGTTACACGTTGGCGCTTCCATCTTGAACTGCAAGACAACGCTGCCATCTCGGCGATACTGCTGCTAGGCAGCTGTTTCACGCACGCTACAGCGGCAAAAGCACGCCCGATACTACCCCGAACCCGGGGAAAAGGGTCACCCACACGGACTTGATGGACGTTGTCGTCGATTCTCCCCGACCGGCCCTTGGCCCTCAATGCAGTGTCCGAACACTCGGTCGACGAAAACATCAACCATGAAGATTGGAAAAGGACGGTTCCGATTTCCGATTTCCGGTTTGTTTGCCACCACAGTAAAGCATTCCGTCGGTCTCGCCCTTGCCGGCCGACTTTCTTGACCTACCCTCCCGTTTGCTATTGGTCGACGCCCAGGTCCTTGAGGCTCAACTCATCTCGCCGCAATCGTCTTGACACCGGCCTGGGCCGCATAAACGGCGGGCAGACGCTCTCAAGCAGCTCGGACCGCGGACCCCTCCTCCGCCTCCTCAACGAATGACCCATTTTGCCTCCTGACAAGCATCTCTCAACCCCCTGCCCGCACCGCACGCCCACCATGAGAGAAAAGCCCGTCCCTCTGCTGGCAATATGCGGTAGTAAACCGATCAGGCGGTACCAAATGGGCAGGTTCCATTGGCCTCGGCCGTCCCCCACACACTCCTTAGGGGTGGGTATCAGACTCCCATGTGCTTCGTCCCTCGCCCGCTTGCCCCAACCCCTGCTCATTTCCCTGGCTTGTCTGGGCATTCCAGTTAGGAACTTTGGTCTGAGTATGGATTCATAAAGACTATATAAAAAGTCTCAGACTTCCTCATTCCTTCGTGCTTTGTCTCGTCGCTCCTTACCGATCCAAGACATTCCTTTTCCAACATTCCAGGCGAACTTCACTTCATTATCCGTTCCTTGTATATATTACATCCGGTTCTATACCTCTTTATCACTTACCATTCCACAATGCGCTTCGCTTCATACGTCTCGTTGCTTCCCATCCTGGGTACCAGCGTCTCGGCCTGGGACGCACCGGGTTATGATGGTTACCGGCTAGTCTGGGCCGAAACCTTCGCCGGCCCGACCAACTCCCTGCCGAACGAGAACAACTGGAACATCATCGATGGAAACATCGGCGTCAACAACGAGCTCCAGACGTACAGGCGGGACCCTCGTAACGCCCAAACCAGCGGTGGCAAGACCCTGCAGCTTGTCCCCTGGCAGGACGGTTCAGACTGGACCTCGGGGAGACTCGAGTCCAAGTACACGTTCACGCCGCAGGCAGGCAAGCGGACGATGGCTGAGGCGCAGATCCGCTTTGGTGGTAACAACATCGACACTAAGGCAGGCATGTGGCCAGCCTTCTGGCTCTTGGGAGACTCGATCCGGTCGGGAACCGCGTGGCCTGGGTGCGGCGAGCTTGATATCATGGAGACGGTCAACGGGAAGTTGACCGGCTACGGGACGATTCACTGTGACGGTTCGTCCCGCTTGCCCATAACACCCCTATCATGGTTTTGGCATCAATGTAACTGATGGTGCTTTTCATAGTCTATCCTGGCGGCGTCTGTAACGAGCCCACCGGCCGTGGCGCCACGGCGTCCATCCCCAACCAGGACTTTCAGCGGTGGCGGATCGTCTGGGACCGCACCTCCGGCGACTGGCGCTCCCAGTCCATCACCTGGTTCATGAACGACAACCAGTTCCACCAGGTCCGCGGAGACCAACTCAACAACGAAGGCGTGTGGGCCAGCCTGACGGCCAAGCCCCTCTTTTTCATTTTGAATGTTGCTGTTGGCGGCAACTGGGTGAGTTCACCTAGCCCTGATTGACTTCCCCGCTGGTGACACACGTACTGATGTGATGTTATGTAGCCCGGCTACCCTAACGACAAGACTCTTGACGGCTACGGCGCCATGATGGAGGTTGGCTATGTTGCTCAGTACACTTCTTGATGCTGATATGTTGGACACTACCTACTCAGTTGGAAGTTTTGGTTGTCTTCACTGCCTGATGATCATGCAGTTCAATTTTTGTACATACTTCCTCCCACATTTGCATTACCTTGCAAGTATATAGCTTGACTTCTGTGTTACATATTGCATTTGCATCGTTACCTGTCCCCGTTCCCTCCATTCCGCTGCCGTGTCCAACGAAAATGTCACCTCCGTCGTGACGAATGACTTAACCCACAATCTTGGATGGTAACCCACCCATTTGGCAAGTGCAGGGATGAAAGAAGTATAGTCTTTTGGGTGTTTCTTCGTTCTGGGCGTGAGCCCGTCATTTCTAAAGCAAGACTCTCCCTACCTAGCTTACATTTTAGTGGAAATGGTATCAACCCAGCCGACAGCCTTGAAACACAACCTTCCGCCAACCCCATTACCCCATTACCGTCACATAACACAAAGCCCACCCGTCCCGTCTCATAGCGCCGCGCAAAAAAACAAAAACAAAACAAAGCCAAAAACGCACAAAACCCCACCCAGCATCCCACCACCAGCACCCTTTCACCCAAACCCCTATCCCCGCCACACCCCCGACCGCCGCCTCTCCGCCTCCTCCTCCTCATCATACCTCACCACCACCGTACTAGTCTTGGTAATCCCCCCCCCAGCACCACCACCACCACCACCGCCCCCTTCCCCCCAGAGTTGCTGGTCCTGCGCCGCCGGCGGCGGCAGGATGCTCTCCTCGGACCCCGCCGCCGACTTGATCTCGGTCGAGAACTTGCCGCTCGTCGAGCCCGCCGCGCAGCTGCCACCGCCGCCGGAGCCGTACATTTCGAACTCGGGTGGGGTGGGGGGTAGCGCGGCTGCTGAGGATGGTGCTGACGGAGAGGCGGCGCGAGGCGCGGCCGGCGGAGCGGGCGGTGCTGCCGGTGCTTTTTGTGGTGGTGGTGGTGGTTTTGTTGGTGGTGTTCTTGTTGGGGTTGCTGCCGGGGTGGTGGTGGTGGGAGGAGGGGGTGTTGTGGGCGTAGCGCTTGTATTTGGAGTGGTAGTACCGGCCTCGCGCGGAGGTGCCGTCGAAGAGGGTCTTGAAGAGCGGTTTGAGGCAGGGGAAGGAGGCGGCGATTATGGCGACGTTGATTTCGATTGTTGTCCTGTGGGAGGGTGGTTGGCGGTTATGGCCAGGTTGTAGGGAATAGGGGTTGGGGGATGGAAGTGGTACATACCAGATGGTGATGTCGGCGCTGTCCCAGAGGAAATCGCCGTGCTGGCCGTACGAGCCGAGGAAGGTGATCTTGACGATTGCGGCCACGGCGGCGAAGATGCCTAGGGACAGGATAGCCGCCACCGCCGACTTGACCTTCCAGTTCATCTGTACGTTCCAGAGAATGGGGACCGGCAGGAGGGCGAAGAGAATATCGGTCAACACCGCAACGCTAGAGTTGAAGAAGGCGGCGAATTTGAGGTTGGACGGTGGTATGCACGTTCCTTCGACGGACGGGTCCCAAGTCAGGGCTAGGGGTCGGCATTGGAAGAAAACAGTCACTAGCTTGGTCAGTTTCGGTGGTTCCTATCGCCACCGAGGCTAGGTACTCACAAAAGTTCCCGCTAGCCGAAAGGACGGTGAAGATCATGGTGCCAATGACAATCCACCGGAACCGTGGAGAGGGCGTCAGACGTAGCAGGAAGAAGCCGACGCTTATTTTCGTCAGGCAGAGGGCGATGAGGCAAAGCGGCTGGGTGACGAAGTTGAGGTGCAACCCCTTGATAACGTTCTCCTCCGGCTTGATGTACTGCACATGGCGACCACCGCCGAGGTTGACTTGTGGAATAATAATCATCATCTCGACGAACATGACTACCTGTTGCCATGGCATTAGTTAGACGGTCACACCGACTGCCCGTCCAACAGGCAGTACCTAACTCAACACGTGGAACGGCTTTGCATACCATGGCGGCGATGATGGTGTAGTCGTCGATACCAAGATGTCGAACCATCCTTGCCCTCACGTATACTCGCAACATCACCACGACGAGGGCGAGTCCCACCAGGGCTCCGCAGACAGCGAGGATCTCGGGGCCCCGGTTCTCATCGGGGGGCATATCGGCGGCGCCCGACATGTTGACGGGCTTGATGGGGTGCCCAGAGACAGGTCGCTGTCTTGAGCGGATAACTGGCGGTGTTCGATGGATCTCGACCGGAAGTAACCGCAAGATCAGAGATCAAGGGGACGACGTCTATTCTTAATCGGACCTGGGGTACGGGACACAGAAAATATCATGTGCCTCTGCTTCCACGGTCACCTTCCCGCCGGTCCGGCTCCACGTCAAGGGCTGCACGTTACAGCAAGGTTCCTGCCAAGTCGACGAGTGCCGTATCAGAAGCCACCTCGGCCTTTTCTGGGTGTCTCATCGGTACCTCGTAAGGAAAGTCTGTCCAGTGGGAACTGAGAACAGGGGTTCAGGTACCACTCAGATTCCCGGATTCCGATCTCGTTCTGTCATCCTTCCGAATCCGATTCTTCGGTCTGGAGCCACTGTCCGTATGAGGAGTCAAGATCTTCATGCACCGACTCAGGAGCATGAACTGCCGTCCGACGTCTGGTTGTAATCCACTTGTAAGGCAGCAGTTCTCAGTATCATCAAGTCACCTGTTGTCCCTGGCGACATCATTCCCGGGTCATCCCTTGACTATTTGAGGGCCTCCGTCTCCCGTCGTTGATGGAGACATTGACCTTCCATGTCGTTATGGGACACAGAATTTGTCCCCAACGTCGACTTCGCCACTGCCAGAGGGGAGCAAGGGGTAGACAGCGGGGCATGGAGGAAGTTTTCTATGTTTTCTTTATAAACCCGGCCTGAACCCGCCGTCCCCAGTTCCCTGTTGACCGACAGGGGTCATACTTCTGTCATAACCCCAATTCGTCGGCCAGTCGAACTCATCGGTCCACCTCTCTCACAGCACCTCCCGTCTCAGGAGAATGATCATCAGAGTGGAGGCTCAAAATCCCAAATCCAACCTCGAACGCAAGGGGCAGACATCGGGCCCAATCGCATCAACACAAGCCGGATCCGTCAACCCGACGGTTCCCCCACCCTCATCGCCCTTCGTTCGTTTTTCAACACCAATCTCCGGGAATGCATTGTCCCGTCGGATGGACCGGCCGAGTCGGGTGCCCACTGCCGCCGGACGGTGTCTCGAATTGGAAGGGTGGCGAGTCCCGAGCAAACCCAACTGCCGGCGGCAGAAACACATCACGTCACAGTATCGAACAGCTATACACAGTTCTCAAGCCAGTGTAACCTCACGTCCACTTTTGGAATTGATACCACAGCAACTGGAAGTTAGTTACTGGAGTCCAAATCTCGGAAAGAAACTAGGCTTGCGACGCCTCGGGATTGGAAAGGTGCGCCGAATCCCCGGGCATGCCACGAGGGAGCGGGTCCTTATTATGCAGTCCTCGTCCACTCCTCTTGCATCCCGTTCTTGTTCTCATTCCGCACTCCATCGATCGACATGAAGGCCGCCACCTTGCTTGGAGCCGCCTTTGCGGCAGCCACCGTCCACGCTGGTGTGCGCTGCCGGGATCTCACCCAGTCGCGAGAACTGGCCGATCTCATCGACCAGGCCAAGTCCCGGGTCATTCAAGAATTGACTGACAAGGAGAACGAGCTCCGGGACCGCGGCGAGACACCCAGTTGTACCGTCAAGAACCTTGTCTTCCGTCGGGAGTAGTAAGTGTTAGATGCTCAGAGCTTCCAGCTTGCATGTTGCTGACCAAACGTTCCTCGCTAGTGGCTCGCTATCCAAGGAGGACAGACTCGCCTATGTCAACGCCGTCAAGTGCCTGCAGAGCAAGCCCCCGCGCACACCCGAGAGCGTGGCGCCGGGCGCCAAGTCGCGGTTCGACGACTTCGTGGTGACGCACATCCAGCAGACGCTCAACATCCACTACTCGGGCGTGTTCCAGCCGTGGCACCGCTGGTTCGTCCACCAGTACGAGAAGGCCCTGCGCGACGAGTGCGGCTACACGGGCTACCAGCCGTACTGGGACTGGCCCAAGTACGCGCGCGCGCCGCAGAACTCACCGCTCTTCAACGGCGACCCCACCAGCCTCGGCGGCAACGGCGAGTACATCCCGCACGACGGGCCCGTTATCGTCCCGCCCCCCGGCGTAGGCGGCGGCAACATCTCCCTCCCCGCCGGCGTGGGCGGCGGCCTCGTCAAGACGGGCCCCTTCGCGGACATGGTAGTCAACCTGGGTCCCGTCGGGGGGCTGGCGGACACGGCACCGGGACCGCTCGGCGGGCTGGGCCACAACCCGCGCGGGCTCAAGCGCGACCTGGGCGGGGCGATGAACATGCGGTACGCCAACTACACGACGGTGCTGCAGCTGCTGACGCGGCCGGACGTGGACCAGTTCCGCATCGTGTCCGAGGGCGTCCCCTACACGGTCGAGATCGGCCCCCACGGCGGCATCCACTACACCATCGGCGGCGACCCGGGCGGCGACCTCTTCACCTCCCCCGGCGACCCGGCCTTCTGGGTCCATCACGGCCAGATGGACCGCGTCTGGACCATGTGGCAGGCCCTGGGGCCCGGCCCTGCGCGGTATACGGATTTGGGGTCGGGTTCGTATGCCCACCGGACGTGGGGGAACGAGCCGCCGTCGGACTTGGCCGAGTTGGGGGATGTTATTGATATGGGGTATGCTGGGGAGTCGACTACCATTGGGGAAGTCATGTCGACGACGGAGGGAGATTTGTGCTACTATTATCTGTAATGTCCAATATGCTGTCGCCCCTTCCGGAAACGGCGTCCTTCGTACCTACCTACCTAAACCAGCTATGAAATATGGTGCTTCGTCAGATTCGCGTCCGCGTACGGGCCCGCCGAGCGCGCCACATGCATCCATGGATGTTGCCCGCCTCGTACAGCGATTCCGGCAGTGAATCTGGTTCTTGTTGGCACTTCGTTCTATCGAACTCACGGCCGACATGTTCCAGCCTTGCAGTACATCCCGTCCATCGCAATCTTTATCTCGACTCTAGCAGGCTCAACTCTATCCTCGAGATTGCTGGACAAAGCACCGCAGTAAAGAAGCGAACATGAAGCGTTCCTTCTCCACTTCCTCCATATCAATTACTTTGTCCGAACCGTGAGCTTGTTTCAGACGTTCTTGTCATACTCGTGGCTCTCTGCCGCCGGCGTTGTGCCCTCCTCGAGCAGCACCTACACTTTGTCCGCCATTCGGAGTGCTGGAACGTGGTACACCACTGGCACTTGCGCGACCTTCACGGCCACTCCGAGCGGTATGTTTTCCGGCTTTGCCGTCGTTATTAGCCGTCATTTAACTAACAGATGAATCTAGGTTCAGGCTTCGCCTTCACTTCCAACAAAAGCAAGTGCGCCATCTCAAGCAGCAACGCGCTGACATGTTCGTTTTCTATCACGACCGCGACTGTCTTTACGTACGGCGGCACAAACTTCAAGTACGGCGCAAGCTCCTCATTTTATGCGACCTCGGCGCCGACCGGAAGCACGCAGCCGACAGTCTAAACGCCGTCAAACACCGTATCGCCGAAGATTGCGTGGCAAGATATCTGACGGATTTGAGCATATGCCATGGCCTTCGCTACACATGGATAGGTAGTTTTCTTTACTTTTCGCCGGGTGCCAAACACCGTCGCCTTAATATGATGTAGGGAACGGCGAGGGCCTTTTTATGTACAGTTTAACCAAGACGCAAACGGTGCCATTAATGGGTCGTCGTCTTTGAACCATGCAACCATCTCTCTTCGTTCTATAAATTCGTTTCAAGGCAGCATCTTTCCCAATGTTAATATGTTGCTCCCACCTTGGTTTTCCCATCTTGTTCATGCTGGATGCCTCATTCTCTTGTGAACCAACCCGCCGGGAAAGGCAGGGTTCCATTTCAGAAGGCCCCCTTTTCTGGCCCATTTCACAGCTCACCAAGCACGGCAGGCTTGCGCTTGTCGAAGAACAAGGATACAACCAACACAGCGAAGAACTCATGTCCAGTTTGCCTCTCGGTGAGCAGGATGTAACTGTTCCCCGCCTGATTGGGCCAATGGCATGTCGGTTCCTGGGCGGGTGGAGAGAGCTGAACTGGGCCGCAGAACACGGGCTCGTCGTGCCTCTGTCTCCAACTCCCATTGGATCTTTACCAAGCATGCCCGGGATAACAGAATCCCACGTGCAGCGAAACAGGAAGGTCTTCCGACAGGAAGAACCGGAGCGGCGGGACGGGAAATGAGGAAAAAGAATCGAGTGTACAAATTACGAATATATATCATGAGTTTCAGCCCGGTTCTTGGGGCCAGAGCTTTATAGCGCCTCATCTTATTACCATCCCCAGATTTCCCCACATGGCGAGGTTTACTCTAGTCGGATTGGCGGTGGCCGCCTCTGTCCAAACGGCCACGGTTCTGGCGCGGAGTTCATGCGGCCACAATTGCCATCTCGCCGAGCCCATCCTCTCTTGCTCTGCTGCCGCGCAGCCGGGTTTGGTCGACTCGTGCTGTGTCGAGACGTTCGGTGGCCTCGTGGTTTCGACGCAGTTCTGGAATACCTACACCGGGCTCGAGTCCGAGGGACAGCTGCTCCCCGAGAACTCCTTCACCCTGCATGGCCTGTGGCCCGACTTTTGCAACGGCTCGTGGACGCAGTACTGCGACCTCAACCGGCAATATGATCCCCACCCGTCGCCCAACACAACAACCGGCACACCCGGCGGCACTCCCGTCCCGCCGTACACGGGCCCGACCGTGGATACATTCCTCACCGCCCTCGGCCACCCGGGCCGCACCCTCCTCGGGTGGATGAACAAGTTCTGGATCGCCCGGAACGAACCCAACGCGGTGCTCTGGGCCCACGAGTACTCTAAACACGCCACGTGCTTCAGCACCTTCGCTCCCTCGTGTTTCACTAAATCGGCCCTCAAAAAGCACAGGGACGTGCTGGACTACTTCTCCGTCTCGGCCGACTACTTCAACCGGCTGCCGACCTACGACTGGCTGGCCGACGAGGCCATCAAGCCCAGCAACTCGACCGGCTACACGCTCTCGGCGATCCAGTCGGCGCTGGCCGCCCGCCACGGCGCGACGCCCTACATCGGGTGCTCCGGGCCGCGGTACAACGAGACCGAGGCCGGCAAGGGGTCGCTGGACGACGGCCGCACCGTGTTTGGCGAGGTGTGGTACTATTACCACGTCTACGGCCAGGTGCAGGCCGGGAAGGGCGAGCCCGTCGAGGCCGACATCAACGGCAGCAGCACGAGCAGCTGCGCCAAGGCCGACAAGGCCGTCTGGTACTATGAGCGCAGTCCGGGCTCAGAGAGGCGTGTATGAACTATTACTACGAATGGTGGGAATGACAATGTAATGTAATATGAAAATTGGTAGAGGAATAATTAAAACGGGCGGCCAAGGGAGCATTGGTTCCCCCCCCCTTCTCCTTCCACAACAGGCCCTCACTTGGACGTCGTGTAAGCGATGAACTCTCGCCTACGAACAGTAACATAGGTAGGTAGGTAGGTAATTGACTTCTTTAACCTCGGTTTGGTCATTCCAGACACCCTTGGCCACCAACTTTCCAAGAAAATACCAACAAGGTCCCGGGCGGCCCCAGTTGTACGGATAGCCTGGTAGGTACATGGGCGAGAATATCGATTTGCCGGGGAAGAATCACGCTATTATCGTTAGCAGTGTCTCTCATCGTCCTGACCCGTCACACTCGCCGCTCATGACATTACGACATTTGTGATGCCATCGATGACAAGGTCGTTAAAACCTTCTTCTGTTGTAAAGGCGGGACACGCTATTGCATCGCTCGGGAAATGCGTCCTTCAACGCCCCCCTAGGTGACGGTTGGCTCGGCGAATATCCAGCTATGCCCCGTCTCGACTCAAAGCCTGCTTTGTTCTAGTATAGTTATAACGTTAAAACTACCTAGCTACAAGTGCATTGCCGTTAACTTGGTGGTGACTCGGACCTGATAGTAACTAACAGTACCTAGGCTGTGGGTTTGTAATTAGCGCCTCGGTTGCGGAACAAAACTAGGTAGTTCGGGTAATAAAGCTTGCCTGGTTCAGATAACAAAGGCTGTTTTGTCTAACAAGGCTTGTTAGCCTTCAATGAAAACCAACAAGGCTTGTACGCTACCACATTTTATCACTCCGGTACAACTCCGGTACATGTACATACTGCAGCGGGGCTCTGTGGGGGGAAACTACCATACTTTTAGTGGGTTACGGTAGTTCTATAAAGTTTAACAGTTCTGAGAAGTACGGTTCCTCTGAAAAGTACGGTTGTTGTCAAAAGTACGGTTGTTGCACGGATTAGCGTAGGTACCGCACCAACCCCCTATAATTCAGGCCTGTAATACAGTGGTCGCCCGCACCCGCACCCGTACCTGCACCCACTGCCCGCCCTGCCAGTGCCCGCATCTGTACCTGTACCCGCACCCGCACCCACTGCCCGCCCTACCAGCACCCGCATCTATACCCGTACCCTGTGACGAGAAGCAGATATTCCATGGGGTCAGGCCACCAGTCAATACAACTATAATATCGAAACTGAGACAAAGAGAAAAAGAGAGGTGGTGGGATCGCTAGCGATCGTTTCGTGGGGAAGTAGGGCGAGGCGCTATGCGCGCTAACCCCGATTGAGCCACAGTGCCATCACAGGCAACCACCTCTCGTGACAACCCCCCCCCTCCACGAAAAAGCTCGTCCGCGAGCTTTTGCTCGGAAAAGGTCCATCACTTTTTCTTCCTGTTGGATCGCCTCAACGGCGCGCCCACCATGACTGGTTCGTTGTCATCCTCATGATCCGCCGCGAACTCGTCGCGTTCGGCCATTTCCAACCATATTTGCAATCGTGTGGGCGGGCCAGACTTGTCGGGGTTCGCGTCATGGAACTGTTTCAACGCTTCCGGCGAGTTCTTGAAGTCGGCCGCGGGATACCATTCGGGGTCGGCTGCCCAGCCCTTCCAACGGACTTGGTACTGCAATTTTCCATAGTAAACACGGCTCGCCAAGAGTTGTTCGACCTCCCATTCCATGTCTTGATTCGGACCAACCTCTTCGGCATCCGGGGACTCGGGTGCTTGGCCAGGAAGAGGGTTGTTTAGGTGTAATCGTAGTCGGTCGGGAGGGAACGTGTCGGTTCCCTTCCACGAAGCTGGGACTTCCAAACGGTACGCGTGGCCAACCTTCTCGATGATGCGGAAGTGCTGCCGCGTAACGGGGAAATCGAGCTTATCGCTGGGTCTGCTCGTCATTTCGGTGCGCTTGATGATCACGACGTGGTCGTCGACGTCGAAATCTGGTACGCGGCGATGTCGATTCGCCTGCTCTGCTTGCTTCTCCTGCGCTTTAAGGATGTTGGACCGCGCGAAGTCCCCAAATTCCTGGATCTGGCGCGCCCTCCGCTGGGCCTCTTCGCGATTGAGACGCTCTTCGTGCGGCAGATCTGTCAGTCCGGTTCGTGATTCCCAGTCGAATGGTAAGGGCATCGCGAACCCAAACATCACTTCGTGGGGCGACAATCCGGTGCTGTCGTGCGGGAGGCTCGACTGTACCGCGTCAAGAGCTGGGATTGCCCGGGACCAGTTGTCTTGGTAATGGCTTACAAACGGTCGTAACCGTTGGTTAATATACTGGTTAAGGTTCTCGACTTGGCCCGCGGTCTGCGAATGACCGGGTGTGGCCAGTTTCCAATTGATCCCCAGAATCTTTGACAGTTCGTTGGTAAAGTCGGCTCGAAACTGCGGCCCCTGGTCACTGATGACCTCCATCGGGAGACCGTAGACTCGATACGGGCCTTCATAGTACATCTTCGCCGCATCGCGAGCCGTGGCTCCCTTCGTGCAGGGAATAGTCCATGAAGCTTTCGTGAGGCGGTCAATCATGACCAGAGCGTTGTCAAATCCGTACTTGTCTTTCGGAAGTTCGTTGAAATCCATCACAACGCTCTGCCATGCTCGCTGCGAGGGGGGGATTGGGTGTAGCAATCCGGGGGTCTTGTCTCTCGGGTGCTTCGCGGCGCGGCACACACAGTTAGCGATATACTGATCGATATCGCTGCCCATTCGGGGCCACCAGTACCGGGTGTTGATCAACTTGCGCGTCTTGTTTATGCCCGGGTGGGCGGTCGTCAAGCGCGAGTGTGCCTCAGTAATGATGCGGGTCCGCAGATGGTTGACGGCTGGGACCACCAATCTACCGCTCATCAACAGCAAGCGGCCATCCAGGAGCGAGTATTCGGAATCCTGCTCGCTGCGGGCCTTCTCACGGTATGGCTCCAACTCCAGGGCAGATTGGTTGTAACGGAGGAGCTCGTCGATGAGCTCGAAACCCGAGTCTGCGGGCGCCTCTATCTCCTCGTCAAGCGCCATCAACTCAACTTCAAGATCATCAGTGCGGGTTGCTGCGCCATCCTCCAGCACGGGGGTGAAGATTTGCAAGGTGCGATAGGCTTCCCTCTTCGCCTTCTGCGTCACTGTATCCTCGCTCTTGCGGGAGAGAGCGTCTGCCGCAGCATTCTCTTTGCCCGGCCGGTACGTGATTTGGAAATGGTACTGCGCGAGCAGCTCAGCCCATCCGGCTTGTCTAGCGTTGAGCAGGCGCTTCGTGCCAAAATACTTCAACGCTTCGTGGTCCGTGATGATCAGGAACGGGTCGTCCCCTTGGAGGCCAACAAGCTCGGCTCGCCAGCACTGCAGCGCGCGGATCACCGCCAGGAGTTCCTTGTCATGGATATGGTAGTTGTGTTCCGCGCCGTGCATTGTCTCTGAGAAAAAGGCGATAGGATGCCATTCGCCGTCCGGCTGTTGCTGGGTAAGTACGCCTGCTACCACTCCCTGTGACGCGTCGGTTTCGACGCGGGTTGGCTTGTCGTGAGAGAAATGGGCTAAAACAGGCGCGTTAAGTAGCCGGTCTTTCAGCTCCTCGAAGGCACACTGGCAATCCGCATTCCAGTCAAATGGTACGTCTTTCCTTGTGAGGTTGTTTAGTGGGCGCGCTGTTCGACCGTATTCGCGAACGAAGCGTCGATAGAAGTTGCAGAAGCCAAGGAACGATTGGACTCCCTTGACAGTAGTCGGCTGTTCCCAATCCCGAACAGTTTCAATCTTCTTTGGGTCGACAGCGATGCCGTCGGTTCCAATAATGAATCCCAAGAACTTGGTGCTGGTGACGTGGAATTCGCATTTATCGATGTCGGCCTGTAAGCCCGCCTCGCGGAGGCGCTCCAGAACCTTCCCGACGTGCTCCTTGTGCTCCCGGAGGTTGTTCGAAAAGATCAGGATGTCATCGATGTATGCGCTACAGAAATCGTCCAAATAACCCATCAAAGTGTTGTTGATGAACCGTTGAAAGGTCGCTGGGCCGTTGGTCAAGCCGAACGGCATCACTTTGTACTTGTACGCGCCGTATCTCGTGCGGAACGTTGTGAGTTCTTCGTGTTCCGGGTTGATCCGGATGCGGTGGAAGGCTTGGCGAATATCGATCTTAGAAAAGATTTTGGCTTGGGAGACCCGCGCCAGAGTCTCGTCGATCAGCGGTAATGGGTACCGGTCCTTCCTTGTGATCGCGTTGAGCTTTCGGTAGTCGACGCAGAAGCGTAGTCCACCGTTAGCCTTGATCGCGAACAGGATGGGCGCGGCCCACGGGGAATCGCTTGGTTCAATGAAGCCTTTCCGCAGGTTCTCGGTGATATATTTCCGAGCGGCTTCCAATTTCTCCAAAGAGAGCTTGTACAGCGGCGAATATCCCAGATCCTCCGGCCTGCCAGTGACATCGATCTTATGGTCGACTTGCGGGCGGTATGGGGGCATATCGTCGGATTCCGCCTTGCTGAACACGTCGAGGAAGTCATGGTACTCGCTCGGGATCGCGTTGACTGCTTTCTGACGCAGGTCGTGATCATCTCGGGGCATCGACTCTGCGAGCTTGTCCTCAATCATCCTGTCGATCTCGTGAAGAGTGACGCAGCCGGTGGGCAGGTTGCGCGCAATCTGCCTGAATGCAATGGCACCGATAACGGCCATATCGGGTGGGCGATCCTTGTACCAGCCGATGCTATCCCTACGTAGAGTGTACGGTCCGTATTTATCTGTGCCACGCTTGTAGTCGATCGCGGGTTCCTTTCGCCGAACGCGTGGTTTAGGAGGCTGCTCCTTTGGCGGGGGAGGAAGGCCTTGCAGCGCGCGCTGCATCTTCTGCTGTTCAGGGGGATCGAACCGAACGGTCTTGGGTATCGGGTCGGATCGCGATAGGAGGTGGGTAATCGGGGACGCAGATGACGTCGGCGGCCGCGGAACAGGCTGGCGGCTCGCCTGCGCTTCCAGCTGTGCGATTCGCTGCGCGACAGCTCGC